ATCCCTAATCCCAGTGGGACTGAAAGTGGAACTTACTTTGCAGGTTTCCATCTGCCTTTACCAAGAGTCAAAGACTCAGAAACTGGGCAGTATAGTTCAGGGCAAGAAAACACTGTAAAAAATGCAACCTATGTCCCAAAAGAGAATTTTAGAAAGCCTTCACAGCCCAGGTCGTTTGATTTAAAGACTTACAAACCTATGGGATTTGAATCTTCATTTCTGAAATTTATTCAAGAAAGTGAAGAAAAAGATGATGATTTTGATGATTGGGAGCCTTCAGAGCATTTAACATCAAGTTCTTCACAGCCCAGTAATGACTTAACGGGGAGTGTTATGGTAAATAATATAGTGAATAACAATGACCCTGGTGTTGACATACCTCATTCTTCCAGTGACTCTACAATTCATGAGAACCTGACTACAATCCAACCTTTAATAGTAGCTGAAACCACAACAGTTCCTTCCTTGGAAAACCTGAGGGTTGTACTGGACAAAGCATTAACAGACTGTGGAGAGCTTGCCTTAAAACAGCTTCATTATCTTCGGCCAGTGGTTGTCCTTGAAAGATCTAAGTTTTCTGCACCAATTTTAGACTTATTTCCAGCAAAAAAGACAGACGAGCTTTGTGTAGGAAGTTCCTAAGTAGCAATTTTGTTTTAGAAACAGACTGGCTCTAACATTGCAACATGGGACAGTTGCCAACTTGAACAAAGGCTGATAACCAGCCCCACTGTTGTTTAGAGTAGAATAGGCTGTGTATTTACATGAATGTATGATATCTCTGTCAGCAGTATTGGCTGAGTCCATTAGCTCTCCAGTTGGTTTATTGATGATTGGAGTTTCTCTTTGTTTTTTTGTTTGTTTATTAAAAAAAGAAATGGAACTGTACTCTTGTTTGGTGCTAATTAATACATCAAAATATATTGGGGCTTCCTTTTTCAAATTACAAGTGCATGATTGTATATGGAACAAATGCTAAAGTCCCAGGGTGGGAGGGCTAGGGAAAGGGATATGGAGTTCTTATTTGACTTGAATGTGCACCCAAGGGTGCTTTGTGTAATATATTGTACACTACAGCATCTTATATTTTTTGAGTTGAGTTTCAATAAATTACGATTTTTCACCCATTTCTTGTTTACTCATACTGAGTTTTGTGTTTACTTGAAGTGTGTGCACTTTCTCTCTCTAGTCTTAGCCAAATCATTCTAAACAGGGATTACATTTTTCCACCTTTTGCCCTCAGAGTTTTCTTCAGCATTTACTTTCATTTTCATGAGTACTTGTGAGAGGGTGGAAAACAATGGAGAAGCAAGTTTCTTTTTTTATTACCCATCTTAGGGGCAGTCTTTGATCCCTCAGTCCAGGATTACTTGCTTGTACTGTCATGGACATGGCCATTCTCAGTGTCTACATAACATGTGACAAATAAAAAGACCCAACTTCCTTTCTAAAAGAACCTACTTAACAAAAAGTTGCTATTGGGCCCGGCGTGGTGGCACAGTGGTTAAGGTCCTCGCCTTGCACGCCTGGGATCCCATATGGGCGCTGGTTCTAATCCCGGCAGCCCCACTCCCCATCCAGCTCCCTGCTTGTGGCCTGGGAAAGCAGTCGAGGATGGCCAAAAGCTTTCAGACCATGCACCCGCGTGGGAGACCCGGAAGAGGCTCCTGGCTTCAGACTGCCTCGGCTCTAGCCGTTGGCCGCCTGGGGAGTGAATCATTGGACGGAAGATGATTTGTCTATCTCTGTATATCCACCTTTCCAATAATAAAATAATAATAATAATAAATAAATAAATCTAAAAAAAAAGTTGCTATTTCCAAATGGCAGATGATGATGCTTCCTAGCTGTACTACAGATTTATGCCCTGTTGAGTTAAATGTATAAAGATTGGCCTGCTCTACTCTGACTTGCTTGGTCTACACCTGCAGGAGTGGATCTGTTGACCATCTGCATTTGAAGATGTGCACCACTTTGAAATTTATAACCCAGGTGGGTGGGAGCTTTTTAGACCTGTCCGCCTCAATTTAGTGTGTTTAGAAGTCAAAAGGCAGGCCCAGTTCAGAGGCTTAGCAGTTGAAGTACTCACTTTGAATGCTGGGATCCTGTATGGGCACCTGTTCTAATCCCGCAGCTCCACTTCCCATCCAGCTCCCTGCTTGTGGTCTGAGAATGCAGTCGAGGATGGCCCACAACTTTGGGACCCTGCACCCGCATGGGAGACCTGGAAGAAGCTCCTGGCTCCCGGCTTCATGTTGGCTCAGCTCCAGCCGTTGCGGCCGCTTGGGGGGCGAATCAATGAAAGATTTTCTTTGTTTCTCCTCCTCTCTGAATATCTGCCTTTCCAATAAACATAAGTAAATCTTAAAGCCAAAATGCTCAGGAAAGATAACCTGCATGAATAATAGTGAAAAACCAAATATTCACTGAGCTCTTGTCATGCTTGTGAGTGGCGAGTAAGACATTCTACATTATGAAAAACAGAACAGACATACATTATACTGGAAACAAGTAACAAAAGCCGGCTTCAGACCATAGAGAGCATAGCAAAAACTTCCTTGGGAAACCACAATAGAAGTTAACCTGGACCGGGAGAGCAAGCCAATTATATACAACAGGCTTGTGATGGGGTATAACAAATGAAGTGTAAGTAATACCAACCAGATCCTTTAAACTAGGGAGGATAATAGAGGAAAAAATTGAGTGGGTAAGCAGGGACCAGGTATTCTAAGGCATTTTACCCATGTTGTAGTTGGCGAGTTTTGTTTGTAAGGCAATAAAGAACTAATTGAAGGCTTAAAAATAAGTTATGTGTTACTAGGGTGTAATGAAGAAGACTGCTGACAAAAGTGAGAGTTACAGATACATGGGTATCAAAGGTGTTGAGATGGCTTCCTTATGAGTGGTAAATTCAACATTAGAGGGGCCCGGTGCGGTGGCACAGTGGTTAAGGTCCTCTCCTTGCACGCCCGGCATCCCATATGGGCGCTGGTTCATGTCCCAGCAGCCCCGCTTCCCATCCAGCTCCCTGCCTGTGGCTTGGGAAAGCAGTCGAGGACGGCCCAAGGCTTTGGGACCCTGCACCCGCGTGGGAGACCCGGAAGAGGCTCCTGGCTTCGGATCGGCATAGTATCGGCTGTTGCGCTCACTTGGGGAGTGAATCATCGGACGGAAGATCCTCCTCCTCTCTATCCGCCTTTCCAATAAAAAATAATAAAATTAAATCTTTTTAAAAAATTCAACATTAGAGGTTTTTAGGTGTCTAAGTAGGGGGAACTTATGTCGAACCATATGTAAATTTTGCAGTTGCAGCAAGAGGGGAATTATTTTCACTTTACAAATTAAGGTACTAATCCTCAGCCCAAATTAGCCACAGTAAGTGGTGGAGAGTAGATTGCAACTTCAAATGAAATTCCCAAGATTTATTTTAACAGCTTTTCTACGATGTTTGTATCCAAACAAGTACAAAAATTTGATAATAGATTTAGTGAATGAGCAGTTTTGCTTCTAAAGATATTTGTATCCAATTAATATCTGATCCACAGTGTGTCAGTCTTTAGGGAAATGGTAATGAAGGAAATGAGCTTGCTTCCTGTCTTAACAGTTGGGGAAAGCATACTAAAGCCAAAAGTGCGCAAGTAATTAATTGTACTATGTGCTTCAGAAATACTAAGTACCATTCAGTCCCCTCACTATATCTAGTATAGGGAATCTTGAGAAATGAAATTGTCACAGTGGTATTTTTCCAAAAAAATTTCCAGCCAATGTTCGTGAGTGGTTTCAAAGCCACTGGCTTAGAAATAGAATTCTGGATATGGTCACCCACTGGTTGGCTGCGGTTTTAACAATCATAGCAGTTGCTTCCATTTCCAGTGATACTCTGTACAACAACATTGTAGACGCCATTTTTCCTTAAGTATTCAAGCAACTTAAACAAACCTCCTTCCTTTCATGCACTAATAAAACAATGATTCCTTTTCCATCAGGTTCCTCTACTCCTGAGCAGTTCGTCAGAATGAACAAATTAGAATCTGTGGTATCTTCATCTCTTGTAAAATAATCAACTTTTTTAGTTATAACCTACCCTTTCCCTCATTGTGCCCTCTGGGTAAAACTCATCAATTCTTGCTGTTTGTATTCTCTCACTGGCTTATATGTAGATGAGCGTATATGAACTCTTTCTGCGAAAAACTTTTGAGAATAGATTTTATACATGTTTTTATATATATTTAAGATATTTTGTTTTTTTTTAAGATTTATTTTATTTTTATTGGAAAGGCAGATATACAGAGAGGATGAGAGATAGAGATAGACGAATCATCTTCCGTCCAATGATTCACTCCCCAGGCGGCCAACGGCTAGAGCCGGGGCAGTCTGAAGCCAGGAGCCTCTTCCGGGTCTCCCACGCGGGTGCATGGTCTAAAAGCTTTTGGCCATCCTCAACTGCTTTCCCAGGCCACAAGCAGGGAGCTGGATGGGGAGTGGGGCTGTCGGGATTAGAACCAGTGACCATATAGAATGCTGGTGCGTGCAAGGCGAGGACCTTAACCACTGCGCCATCGCCCTGGACCCTAACATTTGTTTTTATTTGAAAATCAGATATACAGAAAGCAGGGAAGAAAGGATGATCTTCCCTCCAACGATTCACTCCCCAAAGTGGCTGCATTGGCCAGAACTGTGCCAATCTGAAGCCAGGAACCTGGAGCCTCTTCCAGGACTCCCACCCTGATGCAGGATCCCAAGGTGTTGGGCTGTCCTCGACTGTTTTCCCAGTCTGAATCCAGACTTTTGTTCAGGTCTCCCATGTGGGTGCCAAGGTTTTGGTCCATCCTCCACTGCATTCCAGGCCACAAGCAAAGGAGATGGAAAAGAAGTGAAACATCCAGTACATGAACTGGCATGCTTATGGCATCTGTGATTGCAAGATGAGGAGTTAGCCATTGAGCCATCACACTAGGCCCTGGCCTTGTTTTAGACCTGCACTATTAAAGAGGCTAGCGTTTAGCCAGCTGTGACTAGTCAGCCTTTCTGCTAAGCTTTCCACATTTCAGGTGACTAGTGGCTGCAGTAATGGACAGGCAGATAGAAAACCTCTGTCGTGTAGTCCCGATGGACAGTAATGTACTGAGTATATTGGCCAAAGATCAGAGAAACTAATCAGCTTTTAAAGATCTCGTACTGTGCCTCATTGGTTCTGAATGAGAAGGTTGATTGGACAAGGGCAAACAAGTTGACCTTTGAACGGTGACATCACAAAGCACAGCTCACAGTGACTCCACCTGGTCTCCCAGGCCACTCTCAATTCATCTAGATTCCTGAAGCCTCTGCACATGTAATCCCTGGAGCTGCTGTGTTACTAAAATGCCACCATCTTCATCTTCATTTACCTGGGATAACCTTTTAGATTCTCTCTCTCTGAACACAATATGGAATTGGATACAAGCAGTTCTTCCTGGAGATGCTGGTTCGCCTCAGACAGATAATTTGGGGATACTGGATAATCTTGCTCCGGCAGTGCAAGTCATCCTGGGAATTTGCTTTTTGGCTTTGTTGGCAATAGGATTGTATTCCTTATGGAAACGAAGTGTTCGATCAATTCAGGTTATACTCTTTTTGTTCTAGAGATAAATATCTGTATGTTGAAACTCAGTTTGTTCTCTATTTTATTTCTGCCACCCAGTTTTCAGACCAAACAGGATGCACAAGGGCAAATCCTTATGTCAAGTTGGTTGAAGCTTGGTATCATTGAAAATCACCAAGTACATTCTCAGCATAGGAATGCTATCTCACAATGGTCTTTGGCTTATCTACTGTGACAAAATAGGTCCATCAAGAAAATGCAGTCTTACCTACAAATTTATTAGATTACTCATTTTTGAGTACCTGCCCTGTTTGAAAGAAGTGGTATTATGGTATTACTGGGGTCTTGGATATGGCCGTCTGTCACGGACTGTTGTGCCATAACTAATGAGAAGGCATGCATTAAGGCATCATGATGTTTTCATTGTGTTTTAACAAAATAAGCCTTCAGAAACACAGGGACTCTGGTGAAATAGGAGTTTAACTGGCTTGGATTATGAGAAGCATTTGGGATTTTGCATAATTACTAGTAATATCATATAATAAGGGGTTATTTTTATATGACATGAGGAGTGGGGTGTGTGGTAGTGCAGTGACAATTACAAGAGACAGCATTTAAGGAGTTTTCTTAAAGAGTGGTTTATTTGGTAAATGTAGAAGTTATTACAGGGCCATTTTGTATCATCCACTTATTTTAATATGCTCCTTTTGTTAGGAATCATGATCACAAGTAGTTTCTCTTTTAACCTTAGACTCACATGGTGATCAAGACGGGGATTACTAGCTTCATTTTATAGATAAGAAAAGGAGGTTGTCACCTGCCCAAGTTCATACAGTTTGTGAGAGCTAGAAAAACAGATAGGACCAAGCTTTTAGAACTTCAAATTCAGTTCTCAAAAATCTCATTGAATCTAATCCAAGTGTCTTAAATCTCAACAGAAATATTTTACCTTTACATACACAATTTTTAATTAGTTAATAGGAAAATAGAAGGTGAGGAAGCAAATATGACAAATTCTGGCTATAACTCAAGTAGAAAAATGAATCTGCAGTCCTTCAGTCACCTCAGTCAGGAAAAAGAGGTAATATAACAGTATTAGTATTGTGGGCTCTGGAGTGGGATCCCTGAGTTGAAATCTTTGTTGTACCTCTTGCAAGAGACATTTTCTTCCTAGCTGACATCTCTCAGCCCTAACTCCCTGTCCCAAGGGGAGTTTGTTGGCAGGTCCTTTCTCCCAGGGTTAGTGTGAAGATTACTGGAGACATGGTAGTACTTGACAAGTTTATGAAAATAAGGAATTAAAAGATAAATTTATTCAAGTGCAAAAAGTTGTTGAATTCATGCATAGTTTTCTCATATTTTTCCACAGATTTTTTTTTCAAAAACCCCGTCAAATAATCTTAGCAGCAGTAGTGATTATAATAGGTAAAAATATTATTGGTTTTATTCTTATCTTAGTAGGGAGGTCCTAATACATGTGCACACACACACACATACATATGTATCTTTTGTAGTGACCCACAAATTTGATTTTTCAAGCTGTTGGATCTTCAAAGTATATTTGAAAGTAAGCTGTCTTGCATTTCTGGCCTGGCTTTATCAATTCCGATGACCTGGAGAAATAATAGGTTTTCAACTGAGAGGCATGCAAATGGCTATCTAGTTTCCTTCCTGCATAAATAGGTCATATAGAGGCAAAGTAGCTTTTAGCATAGGGTTCAGCATGTATTATTTATTTAGTGCAACTAATAAGCTTTTAACAATTACCTTGTTATAGGGAATGCTTGGCCCAGAAATGGGGGGTTACTGTTCTGATTGTTTTGATTATTGTTTTGTTTCACTTCTCTAATACACTGGCATTTCACATGGATAAGCAAGTAACTCAATTTCTGTTTCATTTCAGAAAATACTGCTGTTTGTTATCACACTCTACCAACTCTACAAGAAGGGATCCGATTTTTTCCAGGCTTTGTTAGCCAACCCAGAAGGGAATGCTCAACTTAAAGAAAATAGTAATATCTTCCTGTCCTTGGGTCTTCAAGAGAAAATTTTGAAAAAACTACAGACGGTGGAAAACAAAGTAAAAGACCTAGAGGGGATGATCATTGCCCAAAAGCCTGCCATGAAGAGGGAGTGCTCTGCTGGACCCTACTGCAGCTGTTCTGACTGCCAGAGTCCTTTGTTCACCTCAGGGTTTACGTCTGCATCTGAAATGTGATTAGCTCCAATCTTCAGAAATCATTGTTTCTCCTCTGTGTGCCGTGGTATACCAGTAAAGATAGAGAACTATATTGAAATTGCCCTGCAAAGGCTGGATGTGTATCCAGTAGGGCTCACCTTCTCCGTGTGTGTGTGTGCGGTGGGGAAGCTGGGTTGGGAGGCAATAATGGCAATTTAGACATGCTTCTTGGTTGTGATCCTCACTTAGCAGACTGGAGACCATCAACCGCCATGTAGAAATGGAGAGCTAGCCTGGAATCCACCAGGGAAGAGGAAGGGTGGGTGGGCAGGTACACAGGGTCCATGCTGCAGAGCCATGGACCTGATGCTAGAGGGAGGCTGCTCCATGCCGATCCTTGGCATAAGTGAACATGCAACCTACGAGGCTCCTGCATTAAATACGTAACAAATGATCAAGGGTAGGGGTAGACATAAACAGGATTAACAAATCACTGGATTTTATCTGATTTTTACTGGCAGCTTCTTTGGTAAATATTAGGAATCTTTTCTGAGTACTTCAGGAATACTTATTTTGGCTGAATGATAGTTAATTTTAGAATAGGGATATTATTTTATAGTGGAACCATGCCTTCTCCAATTAGGTGGATTCTTATGTGGATCCACTCACAGCAGGGAGGAAAGGGAGGCATTCCACTTAATGTGTGCCCTGTGTGGGAGGGAGGAATGGAAAGAAGGAGAGAATGAGAAAGGTGGCTTACTGGGAGATGATAGCAGATGGCTTTCTTCAGCAGGCTTCAGATTCCACCAGACTTAGAGTGTGCATTTTTAAAAAAAGGTGCATCTGTTTGGAAGGCAGCATTGTACATGGGAGATACAGCAGTGTGTGCATTTTGCCACAGTGTGACCATGGCCATTTGAAAGACTCTTTAGCTATCTGGTACTTAAATGAAATATTAAAGTAATTGTGATTTATAAAACTTCTGAAGATACACTGGCTGTGCTGCTTTACAAGGGGCAATATAGAATTTCCTGGAGTAATTCTGGCCATTTGGCATGTCTGTACAGCCCTGACTTTAAAACAAAATCCCTTTATAAGATGATAGTTTATAGAACATTAATGCAAAAATGGTGGATGGGACCTGGCGTGATGGCCTAGCAGCTAAAGTCCTTGCCTTGAACGTGCCAGGATCCCAAAGGGGCACTGGTTCTAATCCCGGCAGCTCCACTTCCCATTCAGCTCCCTGCTTGTGGCCTGGGAAAGCAGTTGAGGACAGCCCAAGCCTTGGGACCCTGTACCCGTGTGGGAGACCTGGCTGAAGTTCTTAGCCAGGAAAGGCTTTGCAAGAGAATGTGACAATAAACTAACAGTGAAACGGAAGGTGAGATCATCAGAGCCGTCCAGGATGGCTTGCCTCGGGAACAAGCAGTTGCATATGGCTGATGCACAGGCTCTTTCCGGAGTTATAATGAAAAATTTTGGCTTCAAGCCAAAGCACGCTAAACTCCTCTTCCAATCAGCTCTGATTTGCTATAATATGAATAGAACAGGTGAGAGTTGACAAAGTATATTAATTGCCAGTTTAGGTAAAAGGCTTATTATTGTGGCATGCAAGTGTGTTTGTTTTTTGGTGTGTGTGTTTCATTTTATTTGAAATATTCTTTACATAGTTGAGAGTGATACATGTACATGTGGGTCTCCCATTAGGGTATGGAGAGTGAACCATGCAGGAAAGCAGCTGGTACAAATGTTACATTTTTTTTTCTTTCTGGGTCCACAGGAAGGGAGGGGCTGGGGAGTAAATTCCTTGCTGTATCAACAAACTATATCAGCACCCTGGAATGGGGCATAGGCCTTTGATGATGCCGAGAGACCCCAGTCTGGGGAAAAAGGTTCTCTGGGTGTTGACTTGAGTAATTTTGATAGTTCTGAGGTGTCATCGGTTTTGTTGCACCAGGGTTCAGAAAATCTCCAAGGTCTGTTAGCTGGCCAAGTTCCCCTTAGTGCATCCACAGACCCAGACACTTGCTGCAAAGTTTGGCCAGGAGGGTTGTTCAACATGTTCTGCTTTCCATCTTCTGACAAGTCACTTGATGTCCTCTGTTGGCCAGATAAGCTATCATGTCCTCTCTCCCCCTTTTGTAATCTGGACATGCTGTCCACTGCACAGGCATCAGCAACTGACGAGGCCTAGTCCTAATACATTCACTCTGAGGTGTTACCACATTTATTATGATTTTCCCTGTGGCCTGGGTTTAAAAGTCCAGCCATCAGTTTGGGGAGTCCTCCAAGAAACCTCATCTGGAAAAATCTCAGACTTGACTCTTGTGTGTACCAGCCAGTGAAGGATCAGATTTGGTCTGTCACCTGCACCAGCCAATGCACATACTAAATGTCAGGGTGCAGCTGCCAAGTCAGTTCTACCCCTAGCTCCAACTCATGTGAATTGATAGGTGCTGGGGCCTAAGCCAGCCCAGCCTACCTCAGGAGGGACCACTCTTTGCAAATACCAGTGAGTACATGACTTACTTAGTATAACCCCCAACAACTCCCACTGAGTTCATCTGGAGCCCTAGTTTTTGTGTGTGCTGGCATGTGCTATGCTCTAACCTGGTCCATCCTGCATCTGTCCATCTGGCTGTCATGTACTTCCATGAGTGTTGCAGCTTAGCTCAGCCCAACCTCCCCCCAGACCCAACCCACATCTATGCTGACAGCTACTGCCACCTTGACCAGCCCTAGTCTACCCCCACCCATTTTGCTTATGCTCACCAGTGGGAGTTGCAGCCCTGCAGGGGAATGCCCGCAGTTGCCCTATCAGGTCTAATCTCAGGCCTCAATCTTTTTTTTAAGATTTATTCTTATTTGAGATTTTTTTTTAAAAGATTGATTTATTTTAATTACAAAGTCAGATATACAGAGAGGAGGAGAGACAGGAAGATCTTCCGTCCGATGATTCACTCCCCAAGTGAGTGCAACGGCCGATGCTATGCCAATCCGAAGCCGGGAACCAGGAACCTCTTCAGGTCTCCCATGTGGGTGCAGGGTCTGAAAGCTTTGGGCCGACCTCAACTGCTCTCTCAGGAAACAGGCAGGGAGCTGGATGAGAGGTGGAGCTGCCGGGATTAGAACTGCCACCCATATGGGATCCCAGCGTGTTCAAGGCCAGGATATTAACCGCTAGGCCACGCCGCTGGGCCCCTTATTGGAAAGATTTACAGAGAGGAGAAACAGATCTTTCATCCTCTAGTTCACTCCCCAAGTGGCCACAACTTCTAGAGCTGAGCTGATCTAAAGCCAGAAGCCAGCAGCTTCTTTTGGGTCTCCCACATGGCTGCAGGGTCCCAAGGCTTTGGGCTGTCCTTGACTGCTTTCCCAGGCCCCAAGGCAGAAGCTGAAAGGGAAGTGGAGCACCTGGGATATGCTGTCCACATGGGATACCAGTGGCACATGCAAGGCGAAGATTTTAGCCAGTAGTCTACCACACTAGGTCCCAGCTCTGCATCTTGTGCCTACTGGGGAGTATAGTGGTCTGGACTGTATAATTTGCCTCCAGTCCCAGGACCTGCTGGCCCACACTGATTCTGGCTCTTTCTCACACCAGTGGGTGCAGCAGCCTAGCCCAGTCTGGCAGGTTCCCAGACCAGGTCATCCCGAGTCCCAGCTCTCATCCTCACTGCTGGAAGCAGTAACGCAGCAAGGAATTCTCTGAAGTTCCCCTACATCTGCTCCCAGCCCTGGGTCTTCCATATGCAAGTGGGTGCTACGGCTCAGCCTGAGATGCTCTGCTTCCGGTCTCAGCATTTTCTAGTGGGTGTTTCAGCCTAGTTCAGCCCAGCTCATCCCAGTTTCAGGTATTATCCAGCAGGTGCAGCAGTCTAAACCAGCCTAGGTCATCCTCAATCCTCATGTGAAATGGTGGGTGTTGCAGTCCAACCCGGCCTGGCTTGCACCTGTCTTGGCTCTTGCTCATGCCATTGTATGCAGTGGACTGACCCAGCCTAGCCCACCCCCTGACCTGGCTCACGCATATGTAGATGACTGCTGTACCCTGGCCTGGCCTGCTTCCAGCTCCAGTGGGAGATGCAACCTAGCAGGGAAGCTCCAAACCTTGTTAAGTCTTTTGAAGTTGATGTCTTAGTTTTCATGTTGCTTCAATTTCATCCCAATCATCCTATCTGGGTTACCCTTTGGTGTGTGACAAAAGAGAGTGTTGGAAGAATGCCCCTGAGCAGACTGAAGTCAGGTAATGAAGATCCTTGAAGGCCAAACCATTTATTTTGGGCTTTGCATTGTCAGAATGGACCACTAGTTTTTTTTTTTTTTTTAAACAGGACAACAAAATGAATTTAGTAGCCTGAGAAGGAGTCGTAAAACAAGTTAATTGCAAAAGATGAAATAATGCGGCCACCCCTATGTAGCATTCCCAGATTTCATCTCAGAAATAAAGTGTGATTCATATCATAGTTACAAGAAATGGATGAGAAGGGGCAAGTGATGTAATGACCTGCAAGCACTGGCATCCCATGTGGGTGCTGGTTCATGTCCTGGCTGCTCCACTTTCCACTCAGCCCCCTGCTTATGGCCTGGTAAAGCAGTGGAGATGGCCTAAAGTTTTGGGATCCTACACCTGCATGGGATATCCAGTAGAAGCTCCTGGTTTGGACTGGCTTAGCTCTGGTTATTGTAGCCATTTAGAGAGTGTACCAGTGGATGGAAAAGCCTTATCCCTGTATCTCCTCTCCATGTAAATCTGCCTTTCCAGAAAAATTAAATTTTAGGGCCCGGCACCGTGGCGCAGTGGTTAAGGTCCTCGCCTTGCACGCCCAGGATCCCATATGGGCACCGGTTCTGTCCCGGCAGCCCCGCTTTCCATCTAGCTCCCTGCCTGTGGCCTGGGAAAGCAGTCGAGGATGGCCCAAGGCTTTGGGACCCTGCACCCGCGTGGGAGACCCGGAAGAGGCTCCTGGCTTTGGATCGGCATAGCATTGACCGTTGCACTCACTTGGGGAGTGAATCATCAGACGGAAGATCTTCCTCTCTGTCTCTCCTCTCTGTATATCTGCCTTTCCAATAAAAAAAAATAATAAAAATAAATCTTTAAAAAAAATAAATAAAATTTGGGCCCGGCGCGGTGGCGCAAGTGGTTAAAGGTCCTCGCCTTGCACGCCCGGGATCCCATATGGGCGCCGGTTCTAATCCCGGCAGCCCCGCTTCCCTTCCAGCTCTCTGCCTGTGGCCTGGGAAAGCAGTAGAGGACGGCCCAAAGCTTTGGGACCCTGCACCCGCGTGGGAGACCCGGAAGAGGCTCCTGGCTTCGGATCAGCATAGTATCGGCCCGTTGCGCTCACTTGACGGAAGATCTTCCTCTCTGTCTCTCCTCTCTGTATATCTGCCTTTCCAATGAAAAAATAATAAAAATAAATCTTTAAAAATAAATAAATAAATAAAATTTTAAAAAACTTTTTATTGGAAATGCAGGGTTACAGAGAAAAGGAAAACAGATCTTTTGTCCACTGGTTCACTCCCCAAGTGACTTGAACAGCTGCAGTTAAGCTGATCTGAAGCCAGGAGCTAGGAAGTTCCTTGGGTCTTTTGAGGAGCAGGCACAGAGTACAAAGGCTTTGGGCCATTTTCTCCTGCCTTCCCAGGCCATGAAGCAGGGAGAAGGAAGGGAAGTGGAGCAATCAGGAAAGGAACTGGCACCCTTTTGGCCTCCTGGCACGTTTAAGGTGAGGATATAGCCACTGAGCTATTGTACTTGATCCAATTTTTTTCTTTAAATCTGCATGATCGGGCCCAGTGCAGAAGCCTAGTGGCTAAAGTCCTTGCCTTCCAAGTGCCAGAATCTCATATGGGTACCAGTTCTAATCTTTACAGCCCTAATTTCCATCCAGCTCCCTCCTTGTGGCCTGGGGAAGTTGTCGAGGTCCTCGCTCTGCATATACTGGGATCCCATATGGGTGCCAGTTCTAATCCTGGTGGCCCCACTTGCAGCTCCCTGCCAATGGCCTGGGAAAGCAGCTGAAGACGGCCCAAAGTGTTGGGACCCTGCACCCACGTGGGAGACCCGGAAGAAGCTAGTGGTTCCTGGCTTCGGATCAGGTCAGCTCTGGCCATTGCAGCCACTTAGGGAGTGAATCAATGGACAGAAGAGCTTCCCATCTGTCTCTCCTCTCTGTATATCTGATTTTCCAATAAAAATAAATCTTTTCTTTTTGATACCCTTTACATAGTTAATTAGGGTAAAAATGTTCAAGGGCTACAGGAAAATGGGTAAGACTATTATTTCCACATTGTTTCCTTCATGTATCTGAGGTAAAAGGGGAATTTTAGGGAGAAGCCCCACCCAGTCTCCCACCCACCCCTGATGTGGGGTATGCTCCGAGGGTCTTGCTCAAGTGGTTTTGATAGTTCAACACTTATGAATTGCTGCCAAAATAAATCTTTAAAAAAAAGTGGTCCTTCATCAGTTAATAGTTGTTAGGCCTACCTTTGATTTTGTTGTAAGCAAAAGAACTCGAAACCATATGACTCCAAATAGGTTGAGTCTTTCCATTTATTCAAGTGACTTATAATAATATTGATTCCTCTCAGAGGTGTGTGACAGGGTTGAAATTGGAGATAGTGTTAATTTCAGCACATCCTCAGAATTACAATATGCCTGTAACTTAAAATATTTTAAATGCAAGTATAACTCACTGTTGTGACAATTATAATTATGCAAATTAGCAGTGGGCCTTCCAGAGATCCAAGTTAGATTTATTCCCAGTGAGAAAACTTCTGACTTTGCCTTTGAAGCCAAACAAATGTGTTAACAGGCATCCCCACTGACCACATTTTACTTCCAAAAGCAACGAGCTTTCATCCAAGTTTGTCCTCTAGATAAAGTAAAAGACCCTTTCATTCCAGATGTTTCTAAACTAGGGTATCCTTGTTCTGTGCCCTGGATCGCTCGCTCTTGGACAAAATGCCGCCTCCGACCGGAATGGCCGAAACGAGATCAAGCCTAATGTTCATCATTTCCGTCCACTCTAACGCGCATCCCCGCGTTTGAACAGCGCCGGTTCCGAGCCAGGATTCTTAGCCTCTTTCGCGGCTACCTCAGGCGTCAGTCCCTCTCAGCCCTGACAGCCGGCCAGAAGCGCACAGCCTGACGGCTCACGTCAGGCTCCGATGACACTGGGAGAGCCGGAACCCCGCGAAGAGTGTAGCGTGCAGAGGAAGACAATCGGTGCGACGCCACGAAGCAAGGGCCGGAACTCTGGTTCTGGACTTTCAGCCGGAAGCGAGGAAGGCGGGGCTGCTCTAGCCGCGTGACCCGCCGAGGCGGAGGATTGTTTTTGGGACACCGATCCGAGCGGCTGCGGTGCGGGTGGATGTGTTTGCTGGGATCACTCGGAAGGGACGACTATCGCTGTGACACAGCAGAGGACGCGCCGAGCAGGACTGGTGTCGGTGTGGCACCGGCGCACGCTGAGGGAGCCGGTGGAACCCGGTGGCCATGGGGATGTGGGCGTCTCTGGACTCGGTGTGGGAGATGCCGGCCGAGAAGCGCATCTTCGGGGCCGTGTTGCTCTTCTCCTGGACCGTGTATCTCTGGGAGACCTTCCTAGCGCAGCGGCAGGTGAGCCAGGACCGTGCCCACCAGAACCCAACGCGCAGCCGAGCCCTCGGTCAGCCGCGGCCCCGACCCTAAGTCCCCGGCACCGGGATCCACCCCGTCGGCGCCCCTCGGCCTCCAGGCTTGGCCCGAAGGCGCGGGCCGTGGCTTCGAGGGCTCCCTGGTGCATCCACCAAGTTTTTCCTAACAGGGACCAGTGTCCGTGGGGCCCAGAGGAAGGGCAAAGGCTGTCTCCTCGACTCATCCTAGGATCCTTGGTCTTGAACTTACCCTCTTTTGTCTTTGGCATAATCCTTTAACAGGAAGCTGCCAAGCTGTTGCAACCCCATCTTACCCCACGACATTGCTGTTACCAGGCACCACCACAGGAAACCATTTTCTGATGTTGCAATTCTTTCAAGAAACTGCTGCCTTTTTCTCTCTCTCCTTAAAGTATACATACTTAAAAAAAAAAAAACCCTCAAAAAAATTCCTTGCGGTTCGTAAATGCGTGCTTATTATTTTCTTTGAAGACTATGGCAGTAAAGGAGAAAGTGAAAGTTACTTTTGGCAGTTCCCATAAGGCACTACTTGCTGGTCGGGAGCCCGGATGCTGTGTCTCCTGACCCTGTTGCTGGGCTTCCTCTGCACTCTGCTGTGCTGGCAATATGGTCACTGTAATGGTCAGGCCAGCCTTTTTCTCTCTAACTGTTGGGGCTGTTTACTGCAAGCTGCCTACACTCTTTACACCTTTACACCCTGCCTGTGTTTGAAATGGGACGTTTTCATTGGCGTCTGCCTATTTCTGGTGTATTTCTTTTTTTGTTGTTGTTTTCTTTTTTCTTTTATTTTTATTGGAAAGTCAGATTTACAGAGAGAAGGAGAGTCAGAGGGGAAGATCTTCCATCTGATGATTCACTCCCCAAGTGAGTGCAACGGCCAGTGTTGCGCCGATCCGAAACCAGGAGCTAGAAGCTGCTTCTGGGTCTCCCACGCTGGCGCAGGGTCCCAAGGCTTTGGGCCGTCCTCTACTGCTTTCCCAGGCCACAGGCAGGGAGCTAGATGGGAAATGGAACAACCGGGATTAGAAGTGCCACCCATATGGGCTCCTGGCATGTGCAAGGCGATGACCATTTTAGGGAGGGGAACACAAACCTGCACTCATGGGATCTCGGGTCGTACAAGGCAAGGACTTTAGCCATTAGGCTACCGCGCTGGGCCCAAGACTTCATATTTTCACAGAGGAATTTAACCAGCCGCTGGAGACTGACTACATATTAGCCCTTCTGACTTATTACAAATCCCCTTGTAAAGGGTCATAGCATGAGAGACTTTCTCTTCCCTGTTGATGTGATATGCTTCTGCTCTCGAGTTTCCTTTCATTTGGCTTGAAGGACCAAATTCAATGATCCAGTCCTGCAAGCACTCATGTTTGGCCCGTTTGTTCCCCTTGCTCATGGCTTTTTCTGTATTCTAGGACTGTTTACTTTGGGATGAGTCGCACCCTTGTGCTGCTGCGACTTTGGTTTACATGTGTACACGGAAGTGCGATAAGATCCCCGAGTTTAGTTTTACCTAGTTCTTTTCTTTTCTTTTCTTTTTTACTTGATCCAGTTTGTGTGTGTGTGTGAAACTCACCAGCAAGCTTACATAACAAGTTAAAGCTATAAACCCTTCAATGTTTGAGTGTTCAACTGTCCTACTATGGTAAAGAATAATGGACTGTCTCCTTAAAGTGTTTTCTTATTTCAGAGGCGGATATATAAAACAACGACTCGGGTACCACCAGAGCTGGGGCAGATCATGGATTCCGAGACCTTTGAGAAATCTCGGCTGTATCAGCTGGATAAGAGCACGTTCAGCTTCTGGTCAGGGCTCTACTCGGAGATTGAAGGCACTGTGAGTAACCGCTGCTGGGGAAGTCGGTCCGCTGCCCAGTGCTTTGTTGTGTTCTTTTGCAGTTTTGTATTTTTTTTTACGACACTTGCCTTACAAGTCCCCAAACGGCTTCCAAACCTTTGAGACTGATGTAGTAAGGAACAAAAGGGGCAGGATCACAGCTGTGCAGGCAGTTGTAGGTTATGGCCACTGTCACCCAGAGGTCAAGTATGAAAGGGAATGTGTCCTGATATGGTTATTTTTGTAGCACTCCTTGCTTGGGCCTTGCTGCTTTTGGCTTCAGTCTCATCCGTTGTCCTCCACATTACAACCAGTGGAATCTCTTCATTGCAATTTTTTAAAAGATTGATTTATTTTTATTGCAAAGTCAGATTAAAAACAGAATGAGAAACAGAAAGAACTTCCATCCACTGGTTCACTCCCCAAGTGGTCACAATGGCTTTAGATGAGCTGATCCAAAGCCAGGAGCTTCTTCTGGAAGGGAAGTGATGCAGCTGGGATATGAACCCCTGTGGGATCCCAATGCATGCAAGGTGAGAATTTAGCCACTAGGCCATTGTGCTGGGCCCCCCAATCTTTTTTAAAAGCTCTATTAATTTTTTTTAAAAGATTTATTTTTATTATTTTTTCATTGGAAAGGCAGATATACAGAGAGAAGAGACAGAGAGGAAGATCTTTTGTCCGATGATTCACTCCCCAAGTTAGCGCAACGGCTGGATGCTATGCCGATCCGAAGCCAGGAGCCTTTTCTGGGTCTCCCACACGGGTGCAGGGTCCCAAAGCTTTGGGCCGTCCTCAACTGCTTTCCCAGGCCACAGGCAGGGAGCTGGATGGGAAGCGGGGCTGCCAGGATTAGAACCGGTGCCCATATGGGATCCTGGGCATGCAAGGTGAGGACCTTAACCACTGCGCCACTGTGCCGGGGCCAAAAGCTCTATTAATTTAAAAGGTAGAGTTGCAGGGAGAGAGAAGACAACAGTGAGCAAGATTTTCATCTGCTGGTTCACTCCCCAAATGGCTGCAGTGGTGGATCTGGGTCAGGCTGAAGGCAGGAGCTTTTTTTGGGTCTCCCACATGGCTGCAGCAGCTCAAGTCCTTGGACTATCTTTCATTTATTTTCTAGGCACGTTAGCAGGGATTTGGATCAGAAGTCGAGCAGCCAGGACTTGAACTTGCATGCATAGGGGATGCTAGTACAGCGGCCTCTACTGTGCCACAGTGCCAGCCCCCTGAAGCACAGTTCTGACCATAGTATCCCGCTGCTTCCCTCTGAGTGAGGTCCACATTTCTTGTTAGTTTATGAGGTCCTTTTTGACCTGCTCATTGCTTACTTGACCTTTATTATTTTATATATTCCCCCTAATTAAGCCCGGCTTGGTTTCTTGTGACTTGGAGACATTTCACATAGTGATATCTCAGGATTGCCTTTTCTTTCCTCTCTCCCACTCTTGTTAGGAGATTGGTTAATCCCTGTTCTTCCAATTGAGATGTCAAATGTATTTTTTTTTTCAATAAAACACTTACTTGTTTGAAAGGCAAAGAAACAGGAGAGAGGGAAAGACAGAAACAGAGATCCTCCATCCACTGTTTTACTCCCCAGATGGCTGCAAGGGCCAGAGCTGGGCTGGTCCAAAGCTAGGAGCCTGGGGCTTCTTCCAGAATGCCCATGTGGATGCAGGCACCCAAGGACTTGGGCCATCCTCTGTTGCTTTTTGGGCTCATTAGCAGAGGGCTGCATTGAAACTGGAGCAGCCTGCACTGAAACTGGCAGCTGGCAGTTTAAACTGGGAGCTAGCAGCTCAGGGAGTGGCTTTACTCGCTATGCCACAGCGCCTCCCTGCGGTGTCATTTTGTCTAAGCCATTGTTTGAAATGTGCTGCTCTGAACCCTCAGCGCATGGGCCACATTGTGACCCTGAGTCCCGTGGCCTTTCCCCATCCTTGGGTCCTGAGATGGTTGGGAGGCAGGTATGGCCTGTCTACTTATCTCCCCCTTCCCCAAGAAGTGGGAAGAAGACATAGGAAGTTGGGAAACAACAACAACCTCAAAATAATATTGAAATTTTCATTAATTAAAAAAGAAAGAAACTTGTGCTGCTCCTCCGGTCTCCATCATTGTTCCTATTAGAGCACTTACTGCCCTGTGTTGGAATTGCCTGTTTATTTGGCATACGTTTAATTTTCTAAAGAAAGAGTACTTTAAAGTTTTTCCATCATTTTCTTTGCCTAATGCCTGATATGATAAGAGCATAGTTCATATTTATTGAATGAAAGAATGAATGACGGGTTAATTTTTTTCCCTAGTGGAACAGAAAGACAGTCTAATCCGCATGCCAGAGAGAAGAGGGGCTGTCAGGACTATGGCAGTGTCTCTCTCAGACTTTTCATGATCTTCCTTCTCCTGGTCCCTGCAGCTCCTTTACACATTGCCTGCTAATGTTGTGTGCGTGTTGCTGTACTTTGTGCATCCAGCTGTGCTTTTCCCCACACGGAACAGTTGGTACAGCGGTTCAAACTCAGTGCCACCATGCCAGCTCCGTCATCTCCAGAAATTCACTCAAGCACTTTTTATGTTCCCAGTTTTCTCGTTTATTGTAGAAAGATAAATAGTTCCCCATTTATGGTTTTTGTTGAGAGGATTAAGTGAGCGTATCGTAGGTAAAATATCGCAGGTAGAATGGTTCCTGATCCAGCATAAATCCTCCATAAATGTTGTCTCTAACATTGTTACATGATGACAGAATTCTCTAACCGGTCTCAGAACTTCACTTGACAAACATGCCATTACAAGACTGGAATGTTTAATTAGAAAGTTGTTTGAAACTGCTCTGCTGGGGCCAGTGCTTTGGCACAACCGACTAATGCTTCACTTCCAAGGACAGACATCCCATATGGGCGCCAGTTCATGTCCTGGCTGCTCCACTTCCCATCCAGCTCCCTGCTGGTAACCTGGCAGAGTGGTGGAGGATGGCCCAAAGTCATGGGACCCTGCACCCACATGGGAGACCAGGAAGCTCCTGGATCTTGGCTCCTGGCTTCCGCTCAGCTCAGTTCTGGCCAGTGTGGCCACTTAAGGAGTGAATTAGCAGATGGAAGATCTTTCTGTTTGTCTCTCCTTCTCTCTATAAATTTGCCTTTCCTCCAACAATAACTATATATATATATATATATGTATATGTATATGTATATATATATATATATGTATGTTTATGTGTGTGTCAGGGGTGGTGCTTGGTGTAATTAGCCTAGTGGTGGGACTCAAACTCAGGCACTTCTGTATGGAATATAGATCCCACAACTGGCATCTTAACCCTGTGCCAAGTGCCCACCCCAGTGTTGTTTTAAATCTTTGTTCTCATCTTTAAAATGTACAGATATTAAACCATACTTCATATGTTGCAAGGACTGAAGGAGCATTTAGAACAGTGTCCAACACATAGCAATTGCCTAGTTGTTGAGTTTCCTAGGGTAAGTTACCTGAACCTTTCTGAATTTCAGTTGTGTCATCTGTAATGATTATAAACCTGACCTTTCTGGTTTTCAAGACCGTGCTAAAAACAGTCTTCAAAAAGAAACACAGGAATTGTTTTTCTTGGGCTCATTAATTCTTGCCCTGAGATTTCCCCAGGAAAGTGCTAGATATGATTGCTGACCCATGGTTTGGTGTTTCATCTAAGCAGTAAACTAAGCAAGGTTTGGAACACTGGTTTCCAAACATGCCCACAGTTCACTCCAAGTTCTTAGTAAAACTATGCTTGACACTTATATAAAAGCTGCACTTTTATTTATTTAAATATTTATTTTTATTGGAAAGTCCAATTTTTAAAAATATTTTTTAAAGATTTATTTTTATTATTTTTTCATTGGAAAGGTGGATATACAGAGAGAAGAGACAGAGAGGAAGATCTTCCGTCCAATGATTCACTCCCCAAGTGAGCGCAACGGCCGATGCTATGCTGATCCAAAGCCAGGAGCCTCCTCCGGGTCTCCCACGCGGGTGCAGGGTCCTAAAGCTTTGGGCCGTCCTCGACTGCTTTCCCAGGTCACAGGCAGGGAGCTGGAAGGGAAGCGGGGTTGCCAGGATTAGAACCGGCACCCATATGGGATCCTGGGCATGCAAGACGAGGACCTTAACCACTGCGCCACCACGCCGGGCCCGGAAAGTCCAATTTACAGAGAGAAAGAGATCAGAGAGAAAAGGCTTCATCCTCTGGTTCACTTCCGAAGTGGCCACAATGGCCAGGGCTACCCGGTCTGAAACCAGGAGCTTCTTCCCAAAAAGGTGCAGGGGTCCCAAGACTTTGGATCACATTCAACTGCTTTCCAGGCCAGAAGCAGGGAGCTGGATGGGAAGTGGAGCTGCCACAATTCGAACAGGCACCCATATGGGATCCCGGCGCTTCTTAAAGGAGGAGGATTAGCCATTCTAGCCATTGTGCTGGTTCTAGTGAATAGCGATTGAGCCATTGAGCTGGTTCCTGAAACCCTGATTTTTTTATTATTTATTTATTTTTCTTAAAGGTTTATTTATTTATATTGGGAAGTCATATCTACGGAGGGAGAGGAGAGATAAAGATGTTACATCTGTTGGTTCACTCCCCAAGTGGCTACAACACTTACAGCTATTTTTCTTGGAGAGTCAAGTTTACAGAGAAAAGGAGAAACAGAGAGAAAGGTCTTCTGTTCACTGGTTCACTCCATAGGTGGCCTCAATGGCTGGAGCTGAACTGATCCAGAGCCAGGAGCTTCCTGGTCTCCCATGTGGATGCAGGGTCCCAAGGCTTTGGGCCATCCTCTACTGCTTTCCTAGGCCACAGGCAGGGAGCTGGATGGGAGGTGGAGGAGCCAGGATACAAACTAGTGCCCATATTGGATTTCGGCATATGCAAGGCAAGGACTTTAGCCAGTAGGCTACCGTGCTGGGTTCAAACAGTGATTTTTAACTTTATTGTGTGTAAGTTCACATGGAGACTGCTGGCTCCAATACAAATTTCTGATCTAATAGATTTGGGGTGAGACCTGAGAATTTGCATTTCTTTTTTTTTTTTAAAGATTTATTTTTTATTTTTTATTTTTATTGCAAAGTCAGATTTATAGAGAGTAGGAGAGAGAAAGAAAGTCTTCCATCTGATGATTCACGCCCCAAGTGACTGCAACGGCTGGTGCTGCACCAATCCGAAGCCAGGAGCCAGGAACCTCCTCCAGGTTTCCCACACAGGTGCAGGGTCCCAAAGCTTTGTTTCATCCTTGACTGCTTTCCCAGGCCACAAGCAGGGAGCTGGATGAGAAGCAGGGCTGCCAAGATTAGAACCGGCACCCATATGGGATCCCGGTGTGCTCAAGGCAAGGACTTTGGCCACTAGGTGGCTGGGCCCAGAATTTGCATTTCTAACATATCCTCAGAAGCTGCTGCTTGGATTGTTCTGTCCAAAATCCTGTCTGAGGGGCCTTTGTTATGGGACTATGACTTACGCTGATTTGGGTGTCAGAATTCACAAATGGCCACATCACCTGGGCTGTGCAAGGTCAGAGTTGGGTGCCTCAAGCTTAATTCAATTTTCCTATATGGGTTTAGGGACCTGAGGACTTGGCCCATCCAGCTGCTGTCTCGGTTGCATTAACAGGGAACTGGATCTAGAGTGGAATAGCTCCTGGCTCCCGGGTTCAGATCAGCTCAGCTTCAGCCATTGTGGCCACTAGCAGACTGAACCAGCAGACGATCTTCCTGTCTCTTCTCCTCTCTATGAATCTGAATTTTCAGTAAAAATAAGTGAATCTTTAAAAAAAGAAAACAATTTTGGGTCTAGTGCGATTTCCTAGAGGTTAAAGTCCTCGCCTTGCATCTGCTGGTGTCATGCTGGGATCCCATATGGGCACCTGTTCTAATCCCGGCTGCGCCACTTCCCATCCGGCTCCCTGCTTGTGGCCTGGGAAGCAGTCGAGGGTGGCCTAAAGCCTTGGGACCCTGCACCCCAGTGGGAGACCTGGAGGAGGCTCCGAGCACCTGGCTTTGGATTGGCTGAGCTCTGGCCATTGTGACCACTTGGGGAGTAAATCAGCAGATGAAAGATTTTTCCTCTCTGGGAATCTTACTGTCCCATAAAAATAAATATATTTTTAAAAAATAATGATTCTTCATAAAAATTGTCTTATAGTCTCATATGATAGTGTCTGGCAGTGTTCTGATATGACTATGATATGTTTGGTTTTGTAGTTCATTCTTCTCTTTGGAGGAATCCCTTATCTCTGGAAACTCTCTGGACAGTTCTGTGGTCATGCTGGCTTCGGACCAGAATATGAGGTAAGTGGTTCCTTAGCAGATTTTGTCAGTCTTTGTAAGTTAAATTCTTTGCGCTTCATTAGACTAACTTCTCTGTGTTTCTGGGTCTCATTCTCTTTCTGGGTCTCATGCTGACAGAAAGTACTAATTAGTATAACAAACTCCAGAATTTCAGTGGTTGTCAAAACAGTTTGTGTCTCGATTGTGAAACAGCTCAATGTTAGTATTCCTGGCAGGTTTGGTGAGTCAGGAGCGACCATCTCTTCACAGCTCTAGTTTTGACGTCCAGTGCTTCAGACACAGTGGAGAAAGTATACCCTCTGTTAGCTTCCTTGGTCCTGAAGTGATGTGTGCTCTGTCCGTTCAGATTTCACTAGTGGACCAGTTGTTAGGTCACAGTTAGATATAGGAGAGCTCGAAAATGTAATCTCTGGGTGGTCAGTTACTGTTGCATTTTATGTTTTTCTTTTAAAATGTATTTATTTGAGCCAACGGGTGTGGTGGTGTAACAGGCTAATTTTCTGTCTGTGGCATCAGCATCCCGTATGGGTGCTGGTTCAGATCTTGGCTTCGACTTGGCACAGCCCTGTCTGTGCAGCCACCTGAAGAGTGAAATGGGAGGATGAAAATGTCTCTCTTTTCCACTATGTAACTCTGTCTTTCAAATAAATAATTTTTTCTTAAATATTTATTTTCATTGGAAACAGTTTTTTACAGAGAAGGAAAGAGAAAGACCTTCTGTCTACTGGTTCACTCCCCAAATGGCCACAATGGCTGGAGCTGAGCCGATCTGAAACCAGGAAGAGAGACAGACAGGAAGAATATTTGTCCATTGATTCACTGCCCAAGTGGTTGCAACAGCCAGAACTGTACCGATCCGAAGCCAGTATCCAGGAGCTTTTTCCTGATCTCCCACATGAGTGCAGGGTCCCAAGGCTTTGGGCTGTCTTCAACTGCTTTCCTAGACCACAAGCAGGGACTTGGATGGGAAATAGAACAACTGGACACAAACCAGTGCCCTTATGGGATGCCAGTGCTTAGAGATGGAGGATTAGCCAGTTGAGTCACCACTCTGGTCCCTCCATGAACCTTTATATATAGATATCTTTGTAAAGCAGAGTTACATAGAGAGAAAGAAATGGAAAGAGAACTCCGATCTATTAATTCACTTCCCGGATGGCCTCAATGGCCAGTGCTGGGTTTAGCCAAAGCCAGGACAAGGGTGATAAGGACCCAAGTAAGTAGACCATCTTCTTTTACTTTGCCCAGTGTGTTAGCAGGGTGCTGGGTCAGAAGTGGAACAGGTGGAACTTGAGCCATGTTTCACGTGTTGGCTTAACCCATGCCACAACACTTTTACTCCTCAATACTGTTCAAATTCTTTTATATTTTGAGATTTATTTATTTTAATTGAAAGGTGAAGTTAGAGAAGGAATCTGTTTTTTAAAGATTTATTCATTTTTATTGGAAAGGCAGATATACAGAGAGGAGAGACAGAGAGGAAGATCTTCCGTCCAATGGTTCACTCCCCATGTGGCTGCTACAGCTGGAGCTGAGCTAATCCGAAGCCAGGAGCCTCCTCTGGGTCTCCCATGCAAGTGCAGGGTCCCAAGGTTTTGGGCCGTCCTCAACTGCATTCCCAGGCCATAGGCAGGGAGCTGGATGGGTAATGGGATTGCCAGGATTAGAACTAGCACCCATATGGGATCCTGGAGCATTCACGGTGAGGACCTTAACCACTATGCTATCGTGCCAGGCCTGAGAAGGAATATTTCATTCACTGGTTCATTCCTCAGATGGCTACAATGGCCAAGGCTGAGCCAGGCCAAAGCCAGAAGATAGGACTCTGAACTCTCGGTGGTGGGTGCTGCAGCCTGCCTAGCCTGCCCCATCCCTGGCTTTCATGCAGATCAGCAGGTGTGATAGCCTAGCCTGGCATGGCCTGTACCCCATCCTGGCTCCTGTGCATGCCACTGTGCTATGATTTGGCCAGCCCTGGCCAGTTTGGCCCGGGTTTGAACCTCTGTGAGGTTCACCTGTCTGAACTGATTCACATACCTGTTGGCAAGTGGAACGGCCTTGCCTGACGTGACCAACACCCAACCCTGAGTCACATGTTCACCAGCAGGAGCTAAGGCCACCAGGCCCACAAGGCCCACTCCTAGACCCAGATCTCATGTGTGCCAATGGGTGGTGGGCCCTTACCCAATATAGGTGGCGCCCCCAGAATCGGCTCTTATATGTGTTGGTGTGTGTTGCGTCCCAGCCTGTGCAATACCCAATTCTTGGGCGCACCTGTGGGTGTGTAGCTTGGACCAGGCCCGCCTGTTTTGAACCCCAGTTCCCTTGAGTGTGAGTTCCATACTCATGCCTAGTTTGGCTAATTACCATTCCCAACTCGTGAGCAAACCAGTGAGTCTTGTAGTCCTTTAGAGGTGAGCCCACATATCCTCCACAGAGTCTGCCTCCAGGCCTGGTTCTGTTGTATGCTAGTTAGTGTCATGGTCCAGCCTAACTTAACCCACCCCCTGTTCCAACACTGTGGTTGAATCCTGTCAGGTAAGCTCCCAAGCCCTGACTTTCATGTGTGCCAGGGGGTAGTAGTTTGAAGAATAATTGATGTTATAGCATAAAAACTGCCATTTGTTTCTTCTTGCGCTTAGATCACTCAGTCCTTGGTGTTTCTGCTGTTGGCTACACTTTTCAGTGCATTGACTGGTTTGCCATGGAGTCTCTATAACACGTTTGTGATAGAAGAAAAACATGGCTTCAATCACCAGGTATAGTGGAGAATAGAAATATTCTCTTTTAAATGAGGTTTTCTGTGCTGTTGTCCTGGGTTGGTAATTTCAACCGTTTTCTGTTTTTAGATAACAAATTAGTTGGGGAATAAAGGAACTGCATATATGGTAAAGATCATAGTTTAGTCTTGCTATACAACTCTTCTAGCATAAATGAACATAAATGTCTAATGTTAGTAACTATGTAAGCGAATTGATTTTAAATTTAAATGCAAGACATTTATCTGTTGCTTCAGGCCATGTAGTATAACGTAGTTTTAAAAATTGCTTCGATTATGTGTTCTTTATGTCCTCTTACTAGTTAAAAAGTTATAAAAAGCGAGATCAGTGTCTCAGTTTCTTGTGGTGTGATATTTTCTTTTTCAGACTTTAGACTTCTTCATGAAGGATGCAATCAAGAAATTTGTTGTGACTCAGTGTATTTTATTGCCCGTGTCTTCGCTTCTTCTTTACATTATTAAAATTGGAGGGGACTATTTTTTTATTTATGCCTGGCTCTTCACATTAGTTGTTTCTCTGGTGAGTAAAAACTTTTACAAAGTTCCTTGGTTCCATTTTGTAAATTAATCTTCATTAGCACGCGATGTTTCTAAAGCATTGAAATATAAGTAGATTCTCAGAAGAGCTTCTCTTTGGGGATCTGCTTTCGAGCGTAGAAATTTGACAACAAATATTATTCTCTTTGTGCTCACTCTCATGACACTAGTTATTAGCCATTTAAACAATCCGGTTGTCAGACTGCTTGGGGCTGATAGTGGATAACTGAGAGTGATCATTCAAAGATTGTTCTTGTCTGATCCCCATTGCCTGCAAATCAGAATGTTTTGAAGAGAAAATAGACTTAGGAGGGACGAGAGAAAGCAATCACACACTTCTCTAGCTTTTTTCTGCACTTTTTCTCTACCTGCCCCACCCTGTTGTCCTTCCTCCCTTTTCTGGGTTCCTTCTTTTGCTCGTTTGCTTTGCTTCTTCCTTTCCTCCCTCCCCCACCCAGCCACCTGTTTTCTCCTTCCTTGCACCTCCACACTACTCCTCTGACCCATTTTCCCCTCCCTCACATATTTGCCACCCCCACATCCTATATTTGAAACTGCTTTGTGATACGATGCTACCCAGCCATCTTTTCACAGCCCCCAGAAAATATCATCTGTCAACTCTTCAGTTCCACTGATGCTCAAGTTTAACTCAGCTACAATTAAGTGATGCTCATTGCTTCACTTCCTACTAGTGGGATCAAGATCAAAGAATGAGTGCTAGTTAGTATACCAGTATCTGTTGTGTGATAAAGAGAGGAAATGCTCTAGAACAGCTTATACCGAAGTGGTAGTAGATGTGTGGTAGGAGCTGCAGAAGACAAGCGGGCTAAGTGGAAACACAGTCAAGCTCTAGTTCCTCTTTGAGCAAAGACTTCAGAAACCTAATGTTTTTTTTTTTTTTAAAGATTTATTTTTATTATTTTTTTTATTGGAAAGGCAGATATACAGAGAGGAAGATCTTCCGTCCGATGATTCACTCCCCAAGTGAGCGCAACGGGCCGATACTATGCCGACCTGAAGCCAGGAGCCTCTTCCGGGTCTCCCACACGGGTGCAGGGTCCCAAAGCTTTGGGCCGTCCTCAACTGCTTTCCCAGGCCACAGGCAGGGAGCTGGATGGGAAGCGGGGCCGCCGGGATAGAACCAGCGCCCATATGGGATCCCGGGCATGCAAGGCGAGGACCTTAACCACTGCGCCATCGCGCCGGGCCCCAGAAACCTAATGTTACGACTGGTTCACAAAGAAGCAGAAATCCCCAGGATAGTTTTTTTTTTTTTTTTTTAAGATTTACTTATTTTTTTAATTGGAAAGTCAAATATGCAGAGAGAAGGAGAGAAAGATCCTCCATCCGCTGGTCCACTCCCCGAATGCCCCCAAATGGCTGGAGCTGAGCTGACCCAAAGCCAGGAGCCTCTTCTGGGTCTCTCACGCAGGCGTGGGATCTCAAAGCTCTGGGCCATCCTCCACTGCTTTCCCGGGCCACAGGCAGGGAGCTGGAAACGAAGTGGAGCAGCCAGGACATGAACTGGCACCTACATGAGATCCCGGCACTTGCAAGGCGAGGACCCCAGCCACTAGGCTACCATGCCTTGTTTCCCAGGATAGTTTTAGAAGGACTGTTTATTGCCACCTGGAAACCATAATCGCTTCTAGTTAGCATTATCTCCTAAAATAAAATTCACAGGTTTGTTGTGTTATTGAAACTACTCAATTTTATTTAATCTGTCAAAACAGATAGTGAACTCTTACCATCTGGCACTTTGGGTCTGGGAATAGTAGAGCATAGGAGATAAGCTTTCTGTTTTCAGGTTTGGAGTCCACGTATTTGTTTTTAATACCATTAGATCTGTGTAATAGTTTTTTGTCTTTTTCCCTGAGAACATATTCTTAAGCTGCTCTGACATCTGCTTTTCAGGTCCTTGTCACAATCTATGCAGATTACATTGCTCCTTTATTTGACAAATTCACACCTCTCCCTGAGGGAAAGCTTAAGCAAGAAATCGAAGTGATGGCAAAGAATATTGACTTTCCTTTGACAAAGGTGTATGTTGTAGAAGGTAAGGTTACCCGGGAGCAAGAGGGTTTTATTCGAATTTTTTTTATAGGACTTCATTTCTAAATTGTTAATGAAAGAATGGACTATAAATTAGCTGGGTATTAAAGTTTTTAGTGTTTAAAGGTTAGAATTTTACATTTTGACTTTTGAAGATTTATGGGACTTTAAGGCATAGTCCAGGGATAAAAACTAGTAGCTTGATGGTCTATTCTTGACTGCAGCTGTGGTTGGTTAGCTTTACAGTATTGCTTTTAATTTTTGATTGAGTCTTTTTTTATTCCTTGCTGCATTATGTTATATTTGACTGATTCACTTTTGTACCTGGCCTCACTCTTGTAGGTAATTGATTTGAACCATTAAATCTTCAAATTCTACTTAGCATTAACTTGTTTGATGGGTCATAAGCAAGAAATAATCTTGTTGGCCTGGTCAACTCCAGGAATATCCAGTGTTCTGGAGGACTCTGATTTAACTTGTAAATTACTTAAAATTATAATACCATTACATATTTCACATTGGTTATATTCTGCTTTTTTGATGATTGTATTGAGAGTTAAGTAGTTTCATAAAATTACTGAGTCCTAGGGAAGCCTACAGAAATGGAGTGGAAAATTACCTAGACTTTGGGAACCTGTACATTGAAATCCTTGTAGGTGAATGCAACTGGTCCTGCCTCTGTTGCTTAGCAGCTATGGACTATTGAGTGATTCACTTCACCCCGCTGAGTTTCCGTTGAGCCCTCCAGTTTGGCAGGTGTTTTCTATAAATGGCTAGAAGCAGCTATTTCAGCTTTGTGGGCCGTTTAAGTCTTCACAGCTATCCGACTCTGCTGTTCCAGTAATAACCACCTGTGATAGATAAACCAATGAACATGGATATATTCCAATAAACTTTATTAAGTTTATAAAACTTTATAAAGAAAGCAGCCAGTTGGATTTGACCCATGAGCCATAGTTTGCTGATCTTTGCTGTAGACTGTCACCAGTCAGAAATGGCTGTGTTAGGCAAAGGAAGAGAGACTGAAAGACACTTGAGGTTTTGCATATTACAGTTGCAGCATCAGGAAGAACGGGGATGGTCATAACTGAAAAGAATGAACTAACAACTTGAAGAATGTAGGGTTCTCTGATGTTTAGCTGCTTCTGAAGCTGTACAACTAAGCTACAAGAACAATTGGAATAATATTCTACGGGGAGATGGTAGACAGATAAGCCAAATGCTACTTAACATCTGTAGCTTCTTTTCTTTCATTCAGTGAAATTAAACTGTTAGTACAGTAATCAGTGCAGAGCAGTCTCTGAGGGGCTTTAATTGAAGGGGCAGTCTAAGTTGCTAATCACGTAAGTTATCAGGTAACATGAAATGGTAGTTCGTGTGACTGTAGGGGTAATCAGTGTGTGATAGATACATATCTACCACTATATGTATTTATCTCAGCTGTATAATATAGTTGCTGCTATTTCCATTTTGGATAAATAGGGAAGGCTTTAAAGAAGGTTATAACATGAGCTGGGACATTATGGAAAGTCAAAGTTTTAGGTGGTATAAGGAAGCATTTTTGAGCTCTGGCTTTGGAGTCAGTACTAAGTTTGAATCCTGACTCTACCACACAGTACCTGCGTGACTTTGAGCAACTAGCCTTGGCTGCAGCAGTTACACTCATGTGTAATTATGTTTTTGTTGTTGCTAACAATACTTAACAGTCGTTAAAAATATTTTGAATGAGTGAATGTTGTTAATAATCATAACCCACATTGCAGAGTTATAACTGTTCGGGATATTGTAGAGAAAGGCCATGAATCCTGCCCTCAAAAACACACAGCAGATAGCAAATGCTGGGAGAGCGTTACTGGTGTGAGCTGGTGTGGGAGGACTGTAGATCCTTTAGATGGGGCCATCTGAACAGCCGGCTGTGAAGCTCAAAGTTGAAGATAGGCCCAGGTGAGATCAGCGAGAAGAGCTTGGAGAGTTTTGTCTCTTCGAGGAATGTGAAGCGGTCCAGTGTGGCCGCAGCACAGCAGGACACAGGAGAGGAACTCTGACAGCTAGGCAAGAGCTAGACCCCGTACGTCTTTGTAAGTTAGGGTAAGGAGTTTGAGTTTTATTTTAAATTCAGTAAGGGAAAGCCATCAGCGGCTTTAGATGTGAGCGTGCCGTGGTCTGTTGTGTTTTCGTAGTATCTTCTACTACCGTGGGAAGTGGATTTTAGGCAGAGGTAGGGTGAAAGCAAGGAGGGCTGCTGTAACGGTCCAAGTAGGAAGTAATGGTTATTTAAGCTAGAACAATAGTAGTTGGTAGAGAGAGATGATACGTTCGAGCCAGGTGTTAGAGATTGTCTTTGGGGGAAAAAGAGAAAGAGACATCAAAGATAATGGCTTAGATTTTTGACCTGAGCAGTTGGGTAAATGGTGTGTTCCCTAGGAGGGAAAAAACTGAGAGAACAGGTTTATAGGGAATTAAGCATTCTATGGAGGCGTTACGCATTGAAATATCAATTAAACATGTTTGTTGCAGTTCTGCATGCGATAGAAACCAACTGTGGCTGTCTTGGGAATTTTCTATTGAAACAGTGTGTGAAGGCTCGCAGAATCCCCAGGCAGGCTGGGCTAACTGATGCTAGGCAGTAGGCAGTGACTGAAGTTACACAGAGAGGCTGGGACCTAGGACTGGCTTCTACTGCTGAGTCAGTCCGTTGGGTATGCTGCCACCTTGGCCACCAGATCCAGTAGTTAGCACTCACACCTGCAGAATTCATCTCTCATCGCCTGTTTCTCGTTCCTCAGTGGATGCATTTGACTGACTGACCCAGGACGTGAGGCTAGCTTCCAGGAGTGCTGGGGAGGCACGTCTCTGGTTTTCTAGATTTTTCAAATGAGAATTGATCTCTCGCAAGACTTTCATGGTGTAAAATTTCCTAAACTGTGACAGAAGATATCCATACTGGGCAAGGAAAAGAAAACAAACAAGAAAGCAGTTTCCAAATATATAGACATCCACAGGGAGAGGTCAGCTGAGTGACTGGGTAGGTTGTCTGGACTTCTGTGGAGAGGACAGAGTAGACGGGGAGATTTAGATGTCCCTGGCACGTGGATGGTGTTTAATGCCATGGGTAAGGGCACTCAGAGAAGAGATGGGACCAGAGGTAGCAGGGGGCTAACAGTCAGCAAAGGAGCATTAGGGGAGAGACCATGTGAGTAGGAAGAAATCCAGGAGAAAATCAGGTCTTAAAAGACAGGAGAAGAGGGCCCAGTGCAGTGGCCTCGCAGCTGAGGTCCTCACTTTGCATGCCCGGGATCCCATATGGGCACCAGTTCTAATCCCGGTGGCCCCGCTTCCCATCTAACTCCCTGCTTGTGGCCTGGGAAAGCAATTGAGGACAGCCCAAAGCCTTGGGACCCTGCACCCGTGTGGGAGATCTAGAAGAAGACCTGGAAGTTCCTGGCTCCTGGTTTCGGCTCAGTGCAGCACTGGTTGTTGTGATCACTTGAGGAGTCAATCATTGGATGGAAGATCTTCCTCTCTGTATAACTGACTTTCCAATAAAATTAAAATAAACCTTAAAAAAAAAAAAAAAGAAAGCCAGGAGAAGAAAGTGTGTCAGGAGGAAGTGATCAGCTGTGTGTTAAATACTGCCAGGAGGCTGACTGAGATAGCATGGCATGAAGGAAGTATGAAGCCACTGATGGACGAGCCTCACATTTGCACAGAAAATTTTGATTTTTGAAATGCTCAAATAGATTATTGCATTCCTGAAGTGTAGCACTGATTACTCAGTGGAGAAGCATTGAGCGTCTGCTACGTGGCTGACAGTATGACACAGAAGGCTTGGGTTTAGTGCAGAGGTACTCCTTTTTTTTTTTTTTAAAGATTTATTTAGTCTTATTGGAAAGGTGATTTGCAGAGAGAAGGAGAGACAGAAAGATCTTCCATCCACTAGTTCACCATTGGCCACCATGACTGTAGCTGAGCCAGTCCACACCAAGGAGCTTTTTCTGCGTCTCCCACGTGGGTGCAGGGTCCCAAGGCTTTGGGCCGTCCTCAGGTCACAAGCAGGGAGCTGGAAGGGAAGGGGAGCAGCCGGGGCACAAACCGGCGCCCTTATGTGATCCCGTCATGTGCAAGGCAAGGATTTAGCCATTAGGCCATGTTGCCATGCCCACCAGGGTACTCTTACACTTAGTCAGTACAGGAATTCCATGGAAGGCTTGCTAACAGATTCCTACACTCCATTCCCAGAGATTCTTACTTGATGGGTGGTTTTGGTATGTGCTTCTGATGGACACTCTGGGTGATTTTGATATAGGGATTCCTTAGACCACACTTGGAGATTCAAAGACATTAATTTTATTTACTGTACTATTGTTACTTCCATAACTAACTTTGGATGAGTTCTAAGAAAGCTTTTAATTAATTAAAAAAAAAAATCATCATCCGTGGGCCCGGTGCGGTAGTCTAGAGGCTAAAAGTTCTCGCCTCTATCCCATATAGGTGCCAGTTCTGATCTTGGCAGCCCTGCTTCCCATCCAGTTCCCTGCTTGTGGTCTGGGAAAGCAGTTGAGGACGGCCCAAATCCTTGGGACTCTGCACCCATGTGGGAGATCCAGAAGAAGCTCCTGGCTCCTGGCTTCAGCTCGGTGTTGCTCTGCCTGTTGCAACCACTTGGGGAATGAATCAATGGACAAAGGATCTTCCTGTCTCCTCCTCCTCTCTATAATTCTGATTTTCCAATAAAAATTAAAAATCTTAAAAAAAAATCATCATCAAAGAAGATAGAGATGAAATGACAGTGTTAAATCTCAGAGTGGTACAACTTTCTAACCAGTAAGGTTTCACATAATTAAGTTCTTAGCATTTATCTATGTGCTTGAAAGGCAAAGCGACAGAGAAGGTGAGAGAGACACACCAAGATTTTTCCATCTGCTGATTCGTTCCCTGAGTGCTGAAGGCAGCAAAGGCTAAGCGAAGTTGAAACCAAGAGCCAGGAACTCCAGCAGGTCTGTCATCTGGACGGTAGGAACTCAAGTACCAGCTCCCATGAAGTGTTAGCAGGGAGCTGGGTGGGATGCACGTAGTGGTTGGGGTTTGAATTAGCTGTTCTCAGATGGGATGTGGGCATCCCAAGCAGCAGCCGTGCCACGGTGTCCACTCCCATTTCTTTAAAAGCAGGTTGAAAAGTAGAATAGTGTGTGTGGATCAGGCAGGATGCTAAACACTTTACTCAGTCTATTTTCTGTAATACAGAATCCATCCCAATGGTTGCCCTCTCCTTGTAAACTCTCCTAAGTTTCTGCAGCTAACATCTGGCAGAGCCAAGATTGGAGCTGTTTTTTTATCTTAATCCGTTTGTTATTGATATTGACTTAATATATTAAAAATTGTTAAATAACAGTATATTATATTTGTATATTATAATTTATATTATGAACACAACATGTTCAAATACATTATATTATTGATTATTTATAACATATTAATAATTTATTAAATTGATGAATTAGTAATATTAGCAGATGGATTTATTTATAAATATTAACGATATTTTAAAGATATTGTTTTATTTTATTAAAATAAAAAATATTGTTTTTTATTTAAAAAATCTTATTTGTTTGAAAGGCAGAATTACACAAAGAAAAGGGAAGAGACAGAGAAAGAGAGAGAGAGATCTATCCCCAGTGGCCGTTGTAGCTGGCCAGGCCAAAGCCAGGAGTCTGAAGCTTCTGGGTCTCCCAACACATGCAAGGACTTATGACCTTGGGCCATCCTTCACTGCTTTCCAGGAGCTATAGCTGGAAGCTGCATTGGAAGTGGAGCAGCTGGGACTCAAACTGGCACCCCTATGAGAGACTGGCACTGCAGGTGGTGGTTCAAGCTGCACAGTGCCAGATCTAAGTCCACACTCTTAATTGCTATACTCAGTTCACTAGTCAGTGCAGAACCTTTGGAAATTAAAAAATTATATAAATAAAATAAAATTTAACCATAAATAATAGTGTAAGCCACTGTTACAGACTTAAGTATGTTTTAGTTTTGAGTCTTCATAAAGATAACCTGATTGTTTTTCCTGACTAAACAAATATGCTTATTTTTAAAGTCTTAGGAAAAGTGGAAAGGAGGATATAGGGCCGGGAGCAATAGCCTAGTGACTAAATCCTCACTTTGCATCCACTGGAATCCCATGTGGGTGATGGTTTGTTATTCAGGCTGCTCCACTTCCCATCCAGCTCCCTGCTTGTGGCCTGGGAAAGCAGTGCGGGATGGCCCAGTGCCTTGGGACCCTGCACCCACATGGGAGACCCAGAAGAAGCTCCTGCCTTTGGATTGCCACAGCCATTGTGGCCACTTGGGAGTGAACCAGAGAATGGAATATCTTTCTCTCTGTCTTTCCTCCTTTTCTCTGTGGATCTGACTTTTCAGTAATAAAATAAATCTGTTAAAAAAAAGGGTGGTGGGGGGAGGAAATAAAAATCCCTGATTCTAGAACCCAGTGCTCAACACTTCAGTGTTTGGCTGCATCTTTAATCAGGCTTGTGTTTACGCTTCCAATTACATTTACTTTTTTTTATGACAGTGGTGAGACCTTATACACACGATGCTTGCTTGTATCTTTCACAGTGATATCAATGAGCTTTTCCTTAGTAAGATTCTTCAAAATTGTGGTTGTTTTTTTTATTTTTTTTCTGGCTGCTTAGAATTCCATTTTTCTTGTTTATCATGGTTTAGTCCTTCCACAGCTGTTGGATGTGTAGCTTTACTGACCTAGGCATCGCTGTACAGCAGCAGTGAGCATAAACGTTGGCAGGAATGCAGGGAACCGGACACTGGGCTGCTGGCGGGGACTGAGGTCAGTGCAGTTTTCTCCAGGTATTAAGTTGAAAATGCTAATGTCCACTAATTCGGTTTCCAGGAGTCTCTGCAAAGAACCCCAGACTTTTTAATTATATTCCCTGCTTTGAACTGTCTTTCCTTAGGATCTAAACGCTCTTCCCACAGCAATGCTTATTTTTATGGCTTCTTCAAGAACAAGCGAATAGTCTTGTTTGACACCCTGCTAGAAGAGTACTCTGTACTAAACAAAGACCTGCAGGAGGAGGCTGGCATGGAACCCCGCAGTGATGGAGAAGGGGACAGTGAAGACAAAAAAGCTAAAGTGAAAGTGAGTTCTCCTTTTCCTAAGAGACTCTGCCTTAGTCTTGTTCGTAGTTTCTTTGACAACTCAGTCAGCAGTTTCTAGCAGCGAGGGTAGAATTCAGGAAGACTCTCAAGGAAAAACACCGTAGTCTTAGTTGTTCTGGTACTGGGGAGAGATGACCACTGTTTCTATGTACCAGCTACTCTGCACACTTTTACAGAAAGTACATGTTAACCCTGGAAGCTGTTATGAAACAGGGCTTTTACTACATACATACCTGCTTACATACGCTTTTAGATTCACTGAGACTTAGACACTCAAAGCTTTGGCAACAGAGAGACTTGGATTTGAATCCTGGTTCTGTCATGTGGTAGTTGCTTATCCTTGGGTGCATTGCTTTGTTTATTTGATGTTATGTATTTGACACATTTATGAATGGTCTGTGACCTGAGATATGTTCTGTGGCATGAAGAAAGCATGAATAAAGAAGCTAGCCTTTCTGTTAAGTTTGTGGTCTAAAGGGAAGACAGTCCTACAATCATCCCACAACATGGCACTTGCTAGTGTGAAGCTCTGAATACTGGGTATCGAGTGTGAAACACAGGAGAAGGCTTGCTTAAGCAAGCTGCTTCTGAATCCTGTTCCTGGATGAGGTTTTCCGATGCTGCTTAGAAATGCTGGAAGTGCCAGCACTAAACGGAGGGGGCAAGGGCCGGTGATTAGGAACAACAGAGGTTTTCTCTGGAAGAGTCATCAAGGCATGTGCAATGGAATTTGCCATTGGCTTGGGTGCAATTTAGAGAGGATTTTAGGTCCCTGTTCACTTACTGACTTGTAACTTTGGCAAGTAGGTTAAGCTTTCTAAATCCTTTCATTTTTTCATTAATTGATCAATTAGAACTACAGAAAGAAATCTTCTATCCTCTGATTGACTTCTCAAATGGCTACAGAGGCCGTGACTACTCAAGGCTAAAGTCAGGAATCTGCAGTTCTATCTGTGTCTTGCAGATGGGTGGCCGAGGCCCAAGTATTTGGACCATCATCTGCTGCTTTCCCGGTGCTTTGTTAGCAGGTAGTGGGATTGAAAGTGGAGCAGCTTCTCAGCAGCTTAATCCATTGAACCACAATGTCAGTTCCAAGCTTTCTAAATCTTTGATTTCTTCTCTCTTTTTTTTTTTTTTTTCCATCTTTTCTCTCCTGAAAGATGAGTCTAGCAGGGTTTTTCAGCCTCGACACTGTTGACTTGTTAAACTGGGTGGCTGTTTTGTAAGATGTCCTGGGCTTCTCAGCATGGATGATGGGTCCCTGGACTCTCCTTACTAACAGCAGGTGGCAGTGTCCCTCCTCCCCCAGAACTGTGACAACAAAAAATATCTCCAAATGTTGTCAGCCATCCCAGGGAAAAGAGCTGTCTTGGTTGAAAACATCCAGTTAATGATGCCTTTTAGTGTTGTGAAGATTAAATGAAATAACATGTGAAATACTTTGTACTGTATTTTCTTAAAGATTTATTTATTTTTATTAGGAAGTCAGATATACAGAAAGGAGGAGAGACAGAGAGGAAGACTTTCTGTCCATTAATTTACTCCCCAGGTGGCCACAATGGCTGGAGTTAAGCTGATCCAAAGCCAGCAGCCTCTTCCAGATCTCCCACGTGAATGCAGGGTCCCAGAACTTTGGGCCGTCCTCGACTGCTTTCCCAGGCCACAGGCAAGGAGCTGGATGGGAAATAGAGCCATCGAGATACGAACTGGCACCCGTATAGGATCCTAATATGTACAAGGCGAAGACTTTGGCCTCTAGGCTGGGCCCTATTTTTAGACTTATTTTTGTTTTTTATTGGAAAGTCAGATATATACAGAGAGAGGAGATATAGAGAGGAAGATCTTCCATCCTCTGTTTCACTCCCCAAGTAGCCACAACAGCCAGAGCTGAGCTGATCCGAACACAGAAGCCAAGAGCTTCCTCTGGGTCTCTCACGCAGATGCAGGGTCCCAAGGCTTTGGGCCATCCCGCACTGCTTTCCCAGTCTGCAAGCAGGGAGCTGGATGGGAAGTGTAGCAGCCAGGATTAGAACCGGCGCCCCTATGGGATCCAGGCACATGCAAGGCAAGGACTTTAGCCACTAGGCTATGGCGCACTGTGCCCAACCTGCTTTTTTTTTAAAATTACTACATATATTCTGACATTTATATTCAAGTGAGAAGACAAGATATACATTAGACACAGGTCTACTTGGAAGAACCTGAAGTGGAAGAGACAAACAGCTCATAAGTGAAGATAGAGTGTAATAAATGTCAGGAGTTGGCTTTTATGCAGTCTGGTGGTCAGAGAGATATCTTAGGTGAGAGAATGTTTGAACCAGGCAGGATTTTGACTTGGGGATGAGAATTTCAGGTTCATGGTAAGAAATGACTAAAGCTTGGATACAGTAAAATGCTCAACTTATATTCTAAGACTGATGATTAAATGGATTCTTGTGAAGATAGAATGGTACAGCAAGACATCTAGTGACCATTTCCAGTGGCCTGGAAGGTTTAATTTGATTTGAGTAGAGGCTGAACTTACCTTATGAAGATTTAAAATTTAGTCCCAGCGTGAAGGGTAGAGACTGAAAGCAGAGACTTGTGGGCTACTGTGTCAAGCATGGGAAGTAACGAGGGGGCCTGCCTTGTAATGAGAGTTTGAGTAAGTGCAGCAGCTGTAGTGGACGGAATTGAAGTACTTGGTGATGACTGTTACGAACGGGAAAGGAAAAAGTCAAGGGCTGACTCGGCAGTCATTACCTGTATTGCTTCCCAGAGTGTGTATTATTGGTAAGATGATTTTAGGTAGTACATGAATTTTTTAAAAAATACTATTTCCTTTATTGGAAAGGCAGTTAACATACACATCTAGAGAGGGAGAGACAGAGACAGCTGGAATGAAGCAAGGAGGCTGGAGCTTCTTTCAGGTCTCCCTCATGAGTTACAGGGTCCCGAGTGCTTGGGTCATCCGTTTTTTTCCCCAGGCACATGAGCAGGGAGCTAGTTTGGCAGCAGCTGGGACTTGAACCAACGCTCATATGGGATCCTGGCACTACCACTACACTGCAAACACCAGCACACAAAAATGGTCTTTAAGTCTGAATGAGAAATGTTTAATTTTTTTAACCAAAGATGATAAAAGAAAGCCAAAGTCCCTGAAATACTTAGTGATAACTGTAGTTAACATTGTAATGAATGTCTGCATAATAACTGTTGCATTTTAATAGATGTGTAGGAAACACACTTTCTGAATTTTATCTTTCAGAAGACAAATAGGGTAACAAATAGCCTGTTTCAAGTAAATTAAGTAGCAAGAATAATAAAAACTAAAATACAAAATAGCTAGCAGTGTAATGCAGTAAATTAAACTGCAGTGAGGGAGTCTGGGAGACCAACATCCTGTGTGAGTGCTAGTTTGAGTCCCAGCTGTTCTACTTCTGATCCAGCTCTCTGCTAATAAACCTAGGAAAGCAGTCTAAGATGGTCTGACTGCTTGGGCCCCTGCTACTCAGGTGGGAGACCAGGATGGAATTCTGCTCTCCTGGCTTATCCTAGTCCTGCCCCGGCCATTGAAGCTATTTGGGGAGTGACTCAGCAAATGGAAGATCTCTCCCTATCTCTAACTCTGCCTTTCAAATAAATACTCCTTAAACATAAATAAACTGGCATCTTATAGACAAAACAAGGACCGGGACAGATGTGCTTGACGCAGCCATTAGGATGCCACGTAGAACACACGCATTCCATATGAGAGTGCCTGGATTGAGTCCTGGTTCCTCTGCTTCTAATCCAGCATCCTGCTCATGTGTACCCTAGAAGACAGCAGAAGATGGCCTAAGCATCTTAGTCCCTGCCACTCACATGGAACACCCAACTTTGGTTCCAGTCTCCTGGTTTCAATTAGCCTAACTGGCTATTACGAGCATTTGGAATGTGAGCCAGGAGATGGAAGATGGGTGTGTGTGTGTGTGAGGTTTCAGTTAGTCAAGGTTCAGAACATCCAAACTATTAATATATTAATGTATTTGGTCTTGGCTCTTTCAAGAGAGACCATGTTCATGGAACTTTCATTGCAGTGTTGCTTTCATTGTCCTATCAATAGTTGTTGCTGTTAAACTCATACTGTACCTAATTTGTCTTTTTTAAATTCTTTCAGCTAGAGAGACAGAGACAGAACACTTTACCATCTGCTGGTTTTTTCTGCAAATGCCCACAGTTTTCCAAGGCTGGTCAGGGCCAAAACCAGGAAAGGGGAATTCATTCCAGAACTTGCACATTGGTGGTGGAAACCCACTCCCTTGAACCGTCGTTGCTGCCTCCACGCTGTGGGTGTGTAGGAAGCTGAGGTCAGGAGTCAGGCTGGGACTGAACCTAGATACCCTGCTGTGGAATGGAGCCATCTTAATTGATGTCCTAATTGTTAGGCTAACGATCCGCCTGTGTGCCTAATTTACAAATTAAACTTTATCATAGGTATACTTGAGAAAAAAAAGTGTTTTCTATGAGGATACTTCACAAAATGTGTGGAAAATGGAATTAATGTTTCTGTTTTGGTGCAAAAAGTTCCGTATATAGATTTTTCCATAATCATTTTCTTTTTTTTTTTCTTTTAAATATGTATTTATTTTCATTTGAAAGATTTTACGGAGAGAAAGATTCAGAGGGAAAAATCTATATGCTGGTTCACTCCCCAAATGGCGCAACGGCCAGAGCTGAGCCAGTCCAAAGGCAGGAGCCAGGAGCTTCTTCTGGTCCCCATGTGGGTGCAGGGTCCCAAAGCTTTGGGCTATCCTCAATTACTTTCCCAGCCACAAGCAGGGAGCAGGATGGGAAGTGGAGCAGCCAGGATACAAACTGGCACCCATATGGGTCTCTGCAGATACAAGGTGAGGACTTTAGCTGCTGGGCTACTGCGCCGAGCCCCTTATTTTTTATTTGAAAGGCAGATTTTTAGAGAAGTAGAGACACAGGGAAAGATCTTCTGTCAGCTGATTCACTTTCCAGGTGGTTCCAACAGCCAGCACTGAGTCAATCTAAATTAGCCAGGAGACAGGAGCCTCTTTGTCTCCCGTATGAGTGCAGCGTCCCAAGGAATTGAGCCATCCTCCACTGCTTTCCCAGGCACATTGTCAAAGAGCTGGATGGGAAGTGGAATAGCAGAACACAAAGGCGCCCATATGGAATGCAAGCACCACAGACAGAGGCTTGACCTAGACCAGGACCCAAAACAAGTGTTGAGAGCCTATTACCAGTAAACAGGTCTCCTCTCTGTGGAGCGTTCTCTTTTCCATTTTAACCTGTCTTGGGATGTGATTCTGAAGCTATTCAAGACAGCTTTGTAAAGCAGACCAACAACCAAGAAATAAGAGCCAAACTGCCTAATTAAGAATTGATTGGTTTATTTTTTTATAAATTAAGTTTATTTTTTAACTCTTTATGTATTTTTTTTATTGGAAAGTCCGATTTACAGAAAGGAGGAGAAATGGGAAGATCTTCCATTCCCTGATTCACTCTCTAAGTGACCCCAACAGCCAGAGCTGAGCTGATCCGAAGCCAGGACCCAGAAGCTTCCTCTGGATCTCCCATGTGGGCACAGGATCCCAAGGTTTTAGACCATCCTCAGTGCTTTCCCAGTCCACAAGCAGGGAGCTGGGTGGGAAGTAGAGCAGCCAGGATAGCAGCACTGTTATGGGATCCCGGCACATGCAAGGCAAGGACTTTAGCCACTAGGCTACCACACCAGGCCCAAAAATAAGTAAATCCTGAAAACAATGTATGTATGTATGTATTTTTTTTTAAGATTTATTTTTATTATTTTTTTATTGGAAAGGTGGATATACAGAGAGGAGAGACAGAGAGGAAGATCTTCCGTCCGATGATTCACTCCCCAAGTGAGGCGCAACGGGTCGATGCTATGCCGATCCGAAGCCAGGAGCCTCTTCCGGGTCTCCCACATGGATGCAGGGTCCCAAAGCATTGGGCCGTCCTCGACTGCTTTCCCAGGCCACAGGCAGGGAGCTGGAAGGGAAGTGGGGCTGCCAGGATTAGAACCGGTGCCCATATGGGATCCCGGGCGTGCAAGGCGAGGACCTTAACCGCTTGCACCACTGCGCGGGCCCGTATGTATTTATTTATTAAGTCCACTGAATGCATTTTTTTGGGTGGTTCATGAATTATTAATTAATAGGTTACATCACAAAAATGTTATTTATTTTTATTGGAAAGGCAGATATTCAGAGAGAAGAAGATATAGAGAGAAAGATCTCCCATCTGCTGGTTCACTCTCCAAATGACCAGTCTAAAGCCAGAAGCCTCTTCTGGGTCTCCCACATGGGTACAGGGTCCCAAGGCTTTGGGCCGTCCTCCACTACTTTGCCACGCCATAAGCAGGGAGCTGGATGGGAAGTGGAGCTGCCAGGACATGAGGGGATGCCAATATGGGATCCCAGCAGCTGCAAGGCAAGGATTTAGCCACTATGCTATCATGCCAGGCCCAAAAGTACAAATATCTTAAAAAAAAAATAAAATGAGAAATTGGTGAAGGGGGAGGAAAACAGTAATATATTTTGATTCCAGGAAATCTTGTTGCCAGTGTTCCTGGTAGGTTACATTTTTCTAAACTGTAGAAAGCTTAATTCCATATTCATCTATTTATGTACTATTGTAATTTGATTGATTTGTTTTACTTGATGAGTCGGATTTGCAGAGACAGGCAGATGGACAGTCTATCTACTAGTTCACCTCCACTTCCCTGGAGATACTGTATAATATATAAACTTTTTCTCAGCAATGGATTAAAGGATGCTTTCTACCAACAAGGAGCAGAAATGAAAAGTTCTGCAGGGCACAGCTTGATGGCTGAATTGTCTAACTCCTCCCCTTGCAAGTGCCAGGGTCCCAGATGGGCACCTGTTTGTGTCCCGGCTGCTCCACTTCCTTCCATCTCCCTGTTTGTGGCCTACGAAAGTAGCAGTGTGTGGCTCAAGTCCTTGGAACCGTGCACATGGTAGGCCTAGGAGAAGTTCTTGACTCCTTATTTCAGATGGGCTCAGCTCTGGCTGTTGCGGCCACTTGGGAAGTGAACCAGTAGATGGGAGACCTTTCTCTCTGTAGGTCTGCCTCTCCAATGAAAATAAATAAACCTTTTCTTTTTTAAAAAAAAAATATTAACTTTTTTTTTTCAAAATTATATTTTGTGTTTTTATTTGAAAAGGAGTTAGGTGATCGGGATAGAGAGAGAGAGCACACAAGAGAGAGATCTTCCATCCACTAGTTCACTTCCTGAATGGCTGCAATGGTAGAGCTGGTTTGCCTGAAGCCAGGAGCTAGGAGCACATTCTGGTCCCCTGTGGGTGCAGACACCTCAGTCATCTTCCTCTGCTTTCCCACGCACATTAGCAGGGAGCTGAATCAGAAGTAGAGCAGTTGGGACTCATACCTGCATCCCTATGGGATGCTTGCGTACCCACTATATCATGTCACTGATTTCAAACAATATCTCTTGGGCCTGGTGTGGTAGCCTGGTGGCTTAAGTCCTTGCCTTGCACGGGTCAGGATCCCCTATGGGTCTGGGTTCTAATCCCGGCAGCCCTACTTTCCATCCAGCTCCCTGCTTGTGGCCTGGGAAAACAGTTGAGAATGGCCCAGAGACTTGGGACCCTGCACCCATGTGGGAGACCCGGAAGAGGCTCCTGGCTCCTAGCTTTGAATTGGCTCAGCTCCATCCATTGTGACCACTTGAGGGGTGGTGAATCAATGGACAGAAGATTTTTCTCCTTTTCTCTCCTCCTCTCTTTATATCTGACATTCCAATAAAAATAAATAAATCTTTAAAAAAAAAAGATTATTTCTTGACTGAATTAAATATGAATGTTCTTTCTCTTATATTAACTGAAATTTGGGCCTGGGACTAGAGCCTAGTGGCTAAAGTCCCCATCTTCTACACTGGAATCCCATATGTTTGCCAGTTTGTGTCCTGGTGGTCCTGTTTGACATCCAGCTCGCTGCTTGTGGCCTGGAAAAGCAGTTGAGGATGGCCCAAAGCGTTGGACCCTGCACCCATGTGGGAGACCCAGAAGAAGCTCCTGACTCCTGGCTTCAGATCAGCTCAGCTTCAGCCATTGCAGTTGCTTGAGGGGCATTAGTGGACAAAGGATCTTCTTTTCTGTCTGTCCTACTCTCTGTATATCTGACTTTCCAATAAAAATAAATCCTTAAAAGAAAAAGAAATCCTGTTTTTTTGAGTCAGGAGTAATAACTTGGACTATATGAAAGATGTATAGTTAAAGATACTATAGTTCTGTGTAGAAATAACTATAGTTCTTATTTTGGCATCATTTCTGGTTTTTTTTAATTTGTATTTGTGATTTCCATATAGCTATTCACATTTTTGTATTCACACATTTTGTGCTGTGTGTTTTTAGGTTATGTCCTTCATTTAATAGACCATGTTTATAGTTATTGATATATTTGTTTGGAAGTAGAGATACAGAAGAGGGATAGAGCTCTCCACCTCTGGTTCACTGCCCCGGTGGCCGTAGTCACTGAACTGGACCAGGCCGAAACCAGGAGCCCATAGCATCATCTGGTTGCAGGGGCCTAAGGGCTTGGGCCATCATCTGCTGCTCTCCCAGGCACATTAACAGAACGCTGGGTCAGAAACAGAGCAGCTGCCTGCATCATGGGCAGCAGCTGAACCCACTGTGCCACATTAGCCACAAACATACCATCTTCCTGTGTCTGGGTACAATTTTGGAGACATTTCTAATGTTTCTGATATACTTTCTAATGAATATACCATGTAATTATTTGTGTCCATCATGAACAATTTCCCTTTTTGGAACAATCTTTGAAAACAAAATTTCTTGTGGATTTATAATATGGCTGTCATGTGACCTTATCAGGATTTATTTAATTATTGTTCAGTTGATAAAGCTGTTTTTTTCCAACTCTAGATTATAAACTTTTCAGAGTTAAGGAATGTTTGTTCAGGATTGTAGCTTCCTTAACCCAGTGTCTCACATGGCGTGAGGTGTGGGGGTTGTTTTTTGAATGAAGTACAGTTTTGCACAGAAATCTGTTCCTCTAAGGTAGAATTCATGAACACTCACACTGAATTGGAACATGTCAACTTCTTGAAGGTGCTGAATAATTCCTTTTCCATTTGTTTTTTGATTCAGACCAAGAAACAAGGATGTAAAAATGAGGAGGTGCTTGCTGTACTGGGCCATGAACTGGGGCACTGGAAGTTAGGACACACAGTCAAGAATATCATTATTAGCCAGGTAAGTGCCGAGCAGCTCTTCTTGTGGTGTGGTAGTCAAAGGAGACGTGAGGGGGATTGAGAGGATCTTTGCTGAGCAGTAAGACCCGCTCCGTAACCCGGAGGGCTGCCCAGTGCCCGGCCTGTGCGACCTCAGGCCCGTTCTTCACCAAACACCGATCTCTCGCAGGACTGATCGAGGAGTAAATGAGTGAATACGTGTTTAGAGTTTGGAGTAGTCCCTGGGCCTTGATAAATATCTTCATCGTATGTATTTATTGTGCAAGTATTTTTGTCACCACCACCATCATCACCTCCAGAGTCATGAAGATCAACAGAAGCAGCCTGCACAAGTTAGATATTAAAGTACTTTATTCAAAATGTTTTTTGCTTTTGGAGAATAAAATGTATTCGTTGAATCTTTGGAAAACATAAAGACAGCAGATCAGTACCATTTTATTGCTGGGCTTTACCTGTCAGAACAAGAAATTTCCAGGCTCTACATGAAGCTGTATTGTCTTTGTCACTGGGCTTTGAGCACAGGTAACCTGGAGGGGTTTTTTGTTTTGTCTTTTATTTAAAAAGCAGAAAGACAAAGACAGAAAGGCAGGCAGACAGAAGTCTTCCACCTGTTGATTCACTCGCTAGGTGCCTGCAACAGCTAGCGCTGAGCCAGGCTAAATCCGAGAACTTAGAACTCAGTGTGGAACCCAGCTACCTTGAACTGCCATCTGCTACCTAGCAGGTCACATAATCAGGAAGCTGAGTAAAGCAGAAGAGCTGGACCTAAACCGAACACTCTAGGATGGGATGCAGGCTTTACAAGTGGGATCTGATTGCTGTACCAAGCACCAGTTCCTTACTTTTTAAAAAGATTTGTTTTTATTGGAAAGGCAGATTTACAGAGAGAAGGAGAGATGGAGAAATGTCTTTCATCTGCTGGTTCACTCCCCAAGTGGCTGCAACAGCCAGTGCTGAGCTGAACCAATCCAAAGCCAGGAGCCAAGAGCTTCCTGGTCTCCCACATAGGTGTCAGGTCCCAAGGGTTTGGGCCGTCCTCTGTCGTTTTCCCAGGCCACAAGCAGGGAGCTGGATGGGAAGTGGAGCAACTGAGACCTGAACTGGCACCCATATGAGACCCGTGGCACTTGCAAGGCAAGGATTTAGACCATTAAGCTACCATGCCAGTCCCTTAACTGACTCAAGTGGGTTTTCATACCTTATAAAGGCAAGCTGATTCTCTTACTGGGCTGCAGTGCCCCCTGTGGTACCTAAGGGCTGAGCATGTGGTGGGCAGGCCTGGGCTGGGCCGCAGCACCCATTGGTTTGCTGAGGATGGAGAGCAGAACAAATTGAGCATCTACTCCAGTGAAACTTGACAGCAAATTTCTGGGGCAAAGGAGGCTCAGAGGTGGACTGTGACAGCCAATTGACCTCAGAACGATTTGCTCGTCCGTGGAGTGACGATATCAGCAGCATCTGAGAGCTATTGCAGACACATGAAGAGAACCCTCAGAAAATGCTCCATGATGGGCCCTGGGAAGACATCGGGTGGCAGTTCCCCAGTCCCTGGGGTAAAGCGGTGGTTGGGAAACTGGGCGTGCTTTCTCCTCTTGTATCCTTCTCTCCCCCCCCATACAAGAAGAAGAAAATGTGTAAACAAGGGTCTCACCCACTATCTTGACCCTTCCCACCATCATCAACTATATAAACATCATCACTAATATTAAAAAAAAAAAACACCTTTAAAAAAAGTGGAAATCTTCGGGGTCTGTCATCCCAGGACATGCTAAAGTTTTGCTTTCTACTTATTTTCAAGTTTGCACATATTCATTAAGATATTCCGGGGGCTGGCACGTTGGCTCCAACAAACGAATTGTCTGCCTCCAAGAACTGGCATCCCCTATGGGTGCCAATTCATGTCCTGGCTGCTCCACTTCCCTTCCAGCTCCCTGCTTTGTAGCCTGGGAAAGCAGTAGGGGATGACCCAAGCCTTGGGGTTGTGCACCTGTGTGTGAGCAGCGGAATTCCAGCCATTGAGGCCATTTGGGGAGTGAATCAGCAGATAGAAGATCGTCTTTTTTTGTTTTTCCCTCTGTGAATTGGCCAAATAAAAATAAATAAATATTTTTTTCCCCATTTTTAATTATATTTTTGACAATCTTTACATAGTTAATTAGGGTAAAAAGGTTCAAGGGCTACAGGAAAGTAGGTAACACTGTTATTTCCACATTATTTCCTTCGTGTATCTGAGGTAAAAGGGGATATTAAGGAAGAAGCCCCACCAAGTCTCCCACCCACCCCAGGTCCCGCATGTGGGGCATGCTCCGAGGGTCTTGCTCAAGTGGTTTTGATATTTCAACAGTTATGAATTGCTGCCAATCTCGCCACTCCAAGCATGATGAGGTCTTTGAAGAATGCACTGATTGACATAGTCCGTCTTAGAATCTCATTTGCCCAGTTTTTCACTGCCAACATATGGCTGAGGTGGTTGATTGATTTGTTCTGTCCTTCCTCTTTTCATGGTAGGGTTCTGAGTCCAGCAGTTCGACTGGGGAGATCTCCAAAGAAACTTTGTCCAAGGCATTCCCAGACCAGGTTCTTGTATGTTCTAGCAAGTACAGGGCCTGGCACAGTCCATCACCCCAGTCAGCTGGTGGTGGCAATTGCTGGGTTGGTTCTGTTTCCAGCTCAGACTTCCACTGGAACCAATGGGTGTTGTAGTCCAGCCTGGCTCTGCCCAACACACTTTCTTGTTTTTCCCTCTCTTTGTGAATCTGCCAAATAAAAATAAATAAATCTTAAAAAAAAAAAAAAAAGACCAGCTGGTTCTGCTAACAGCTCACAAAGGAAGGCTTGTCAACTCCAGTGAGCACTTCTGCCTTAACATCTTTAGGAATAAAGAAGAGTTCCTTAGCTAGAAGCTAGGTTGTATGGATATGCAGTGGTAAGACATTAAACAAGTCAAAATCTAAGTCTCAAGTATTCACTTCAGGAAGAAAAATCAACAGTCGGTGACTCATAAAGGGGTGCAATGGAAACAGCCTATTCCAGGGGGTCCCTGGTGTGACACCTATCAGGGCTGGGCTTGATACCCTTCCGACAGATTGGGCGCTTGGCACCAGGCCAAGTATCACTGAAACCTGTATCATTGATTCACACACTCCATCTCTGGTATGCTGCCTGCTCTGAGGATGAGCCCCTTGGGCAAAGCGTGTGGTGTCTGTGGGACAGGGCTGGCTGGTCCTCAAGTCTCTACCATGGGGTGCCTTGATGCATGTACATGCACATAAAGCCAGAGTGTATTCATAACGTGATCTAATTTAGGAAATTTTCCGTATCCCTCCCTTCTGTTCCCTTTGTTAGCCACCCTCTGGTTTGTTTCAAGGCCCTCACCATTCTGCCATTGATTATTCACCTGCTGACAGTGAGTGTACTATGTGCCTGTATATCCTGTGCTCAGACTCCTCCTCCCCAGCTGGAGTGGACAGTAAGACGTGCAGCTGGGTGGTCCCTCGCTAAGACCGTGTTCCTTCACTGCTACCTTTCAAACTGTCTCGGGGCTCAGTCATGCCACAGCAGTTACTTTAAACTGATGCTAACGTATTGTATTTATTTGTATGATAGGTTTCACACAAGCAATTGTTTAATATGTATTTATTTCAAAGGAGGAATTACAGAAATCCATTAGTTCATTCCCAAATAGCTGCATCCACTGAGGGTGGGCCAGGTTCAAGGCCAGGAGACTAAGATTCCATCTTGGTAGTCCATCTGAGTGGCAGGTCCAGACATTTGGACCATTTTCTGCCTTCCCAGATGCCTTAACAGGGAGCTGAAGTGGAAGTGGATCAATCAGGACTTGAATTGACACCATATGGGATGCTGCTGTTCCAGGTACTAGCTTTACGTGCTATGCCACAACTCTGGCCCAGTGAGAGCCTTTTAATGCTGTGTGCCCCGCTCTTTGAGTCACCTGCCAGATGGTTTGGAGCTGGTCACCTTAATATGACCTATTTGGCCTCTAAGATCCACCTCTGCTAAGGGTACTTGTTCTCCAGTTTCATTACAAGGGGCCCTATTTAATAGATTCTTGTTTTTTGTTTTTTTTTTCCCTCTTCTCTCTCATATATTGTTAAAAGATAAATGTGCTTTTCTCTGACCTTTCTAACTATTCAGTTCAGCTCCTAGAGAGGATTCAGGCCAACCTGATAATTCAGGGCTGCCACATAAAGGTCAGGTGTGAGCCTGGGGTTTGACTGCAGTCCTGTTGGACAAAGCCAGATCTAGTGTAATTTGTAGACAGAAAATAGCCCAATGTCGTGAACCACTTCAAACCCTGCATTGTAAGGTGACTCCCTCAAAGCTGCCCCTGCCAAAAACTGCAGCTATGTATTTGCAGAAATTCGATTTCCCTTTTGAGGATAAAAGCGAAGTAAAACACCTAAATAATGTTTTCTGTAATCACACCAAGTACTTTTGTTCATTCCCCAGTGGTCGCAATGGAGGGAGCTAAGTTAATCTGAAGCCAGGAGCCAGGAGCCTCTTCCGGGTCTCCCATGTGGGTGCAGGGTCCCAAAGCTTTGGGCTATTCTGCTGCTTTCCCAGGCCACAGGCAGGGAAAGCAGTAGAGAACATGAACTGGTGCCCAGGTGGGATCCCAGCATGTAGAGGTGGAGGATTAGCTAATTGAGCCATTGAGCTGGGCCCCTCACACAAGCACTTTTCTCAAAATCAAGCCACAATTTCTGCTATTGTTTGGTACTGCTGGTCCCACAATCAAATCAGCTTTATCATAACTTGGGGATCTTCCATCTTTCTCTATAGATGAATTCGTTCCTGTGTTTTTTCTTGTTTGCTGTGTTAATTGGCCGGAAGGAACTTTTTGCTGCATTTGGTTTTTATGATAGCCAGCCTACTCTCATTGGACTACTGATCATCTTCCAGTTTATTTTTTCACCTTATAATGAGGTAATGTATAATTAAAATGGTCTTACATGTGTCCTTGTCTGTTTCAATTCTAGAACCTTTAGGATAGCATAGAAAGAGTGAAAGCTGTAGATTTAACAAATAGATGAAATGAAATCTTTTAGTCCCTTGATTTATTGGTCACATGAATAAATGCTTGTGTACTGTTAGTGGGAAAAAATTGAGAATTAGATTTTAGTGGTAAAAACCTTGATATAACATATACATTGCAAATGTGGTAGGTTGCAAATATCAGGTACGATGTCCTAAGCCATGTTTGTACCAGTGCGTGGGTGAGAATCTTCCATGTACTGGGACAAGACATAGGTATAAATCCGTTTATTGAACTGATCTTTCTCTTTCTTTCCTTGTTGTCATGGTGACAACCACTGTACCTTATGATCATGATGCTTGCCTAATTGTCTTTAAAACTGCCTGACCGGAAATGAAACAACCACACAGGAGCTCAGAGTTGGGGGAGGAGAGGGGCCTCTTGGCAGTAGAGGCATGGCTGCTGGCCCAGATCATCCCCTATGGCATCTGCTGTGGCTCTGTGGCTGTCTAGAAAGCTTTCATTTTGTTTCTCTACATTCAGTGGTTGAGTTCACTTTGCAGATTTTGAATATGTTGGGATGTTAGCAGTGTGACACGGGACATGTCCACGGCAGGTTAGCAGCTGCGTGAAACCGTTCAGCATTCCACCTGGCTGCACAAGGACACTCAAGTGGAAAGTCTCAGTTAATGTCAGTTAGGTCATGGTGGGATAGAGACAGTTTTTTGGAGAAAACTATTTCTTTTAAGGATTTATTTATTTGGAAGGCAGAGTTCTAGAGAGACAGAGAAAGAGAGAATCGTCTATCTTTTAGTTCACTCCCCCAAATGGCTGCAGCAGCCAAGGCTGGGCCACATTGGAATCAGCTTCCTAGAATTCCATTAGGGTCTCCCACATGGGTGACAGGAGTCCGCATTCATGCACACTGGCAGAAAGCTAGATCAGAAGTCCAGCAGCCAGGATGTGAGATGGCACTCATGGGATGTTGACATTGTAGTTGCAGCCTAACCTACTGTGCTGTAACACCAGCCTGAGAAAACTGAATTGTATTTGATGTTGGCTAAGACATAAGATTTATTTTGGCTTTAAAAAAATTTTTTTTAGGCCAAAGTGTTTGAAGAAATCAACATTTGTGTCATTCAACCTGTTGTTTGGTGAATGAGCCAGTGGACAGAAGACCTTCTCTCTGTAAATCTGCCTTTGCAATAAATAATAAATGAATTTTTTAAAATTTTATTTTTATTGGAAAGTCAGATATACAGAGAGGAGGAGAGACAGAAAGCAAGATCTCCTGTGCGATGATTCACCCCTCAAGTGGCCACAACAGCTGGAGCTGTGACAGTCCAAAGCCAGGAGCCTGGAGCCTCTTCCAGGTCTCCCACGTGGGTGCAGGGTCCCAAGGCTTTGGCCCATTCTCGACTGTTTTCCCCGGTCACAAGCAGGGAGTTGGATGGGAAGCAGGGCTGCCAGAATACAAACATGCGCCCATATTGGATCCTGGTGCGCGCAAGGTGAGGACTTTAGCTGCTAGGCTGCCACACTGGGCCCATAAATTAATTTTTAAAGGGAGGGAGCTTCAACTAAGTATGTCCAAAAAGTTCATGGAGAGATGGCATTAGAAAATAAGTTTATTTTTATACAAAAACAATTTTGAAATCATAAATAGGAAAGGGTATCCAAAAATCCATGGAAATGCATATTGTGAAAGCTTACACATGGATCTTAGAAGTTTTGCACCAAAATAAACATCTTTAAATTTTCCAAGACCCAGCATGGTAGTCTAGCGACTAAAGTCCTCACTTTGCATGTGCCGGGATCCCATATGGATACTGATTCTAATCCCAGCAGCCCTGCTCTCCATCCAGCTCCCTTCCTGTGGTCTGGGAAAGCAATCGAAGATGGTGCAAAGCCTTGAGACCCTGCACCCACCTGGGAGACCCATAAGAGCGCCTGGCTCCTGGCTTAGGATCGGTGCAGCTCTGGCCATTGCAGCCACTTCAGGAGTGAATCAATGGATGGAAGATCTTCCTCTCTGTTTCTCCTCTCTGTATATCTGACTTCCTAATAAAAAAAAAAAAATGAATGTTTAAAGACGATAAAATATGGCTTGTGTCTCAATTCCCTTGAGCATTCATTCTAAAATAAATAAATAAAATAAAAATAAACTTAATTTTCCACTAACTTTTTGAAACTCCCTCCTCAGTTACCCTGAGTTAACTCTGACTCTAAGAAAGTAGTGTGCACCCCAAGAATGTCAGCACAGGCACCCTTGGGCCGGGCAACCTCAGCCAGTGGACTAGTCCCTCTGAGCACCACGCACCTCAGCTGTCAGGCAGGAGTGAGAGGTTCTTGGAGAATATGTGGAGGCCTAGCTCAGATTCCCAAGAATTGCTTGGTTGGTTTGTCTCTTAGGATGACACTTCTTTATATTTCCGTTTCTGGTCTGTTGCTTGGGGAGAAGTGGGTAGGGCTCAGTTTATAAAATTCTCCCACTCCAAATCTCCCAGTGTCAAGGATCTTTCAAGCTGCCCGCCCTCTTGCCCAGCCCCCTCTGCACGTCAGCTCCTGAATCCTTCGGTGATGACAAAGTGAGGCCAGACTAAGGCCCTTTCCTTTATTTTTTTCAGGTTCTTTCTTTCTGCCTCACAGTGCTGAGCCGCAGATTTGAATTTCAAGCTGATGCATTTGCCAAGAACCTGGGGAAGGCGAAAGACTTATATTCTGCTTTGATCAAACTCAACAAGGATAACCTGGGGTTCCCTGTTTCGGACTGGCTGTTCTCCATGTGGCATTACTCTCACCCTCCACTGCTGGAGAGACTGCAGGCTCTGAAAACGACAAAACAGGACTGAGATGCCCGGGGCTGCCATCCACGTCACCCCCATTGTTTCTGGCCTGGCAGCATGTTCCAGCTCTTGATATTTTTAGACTTTTTTATTTTTAAGAGAATATATTAAGTATGGGAAAACCCAGATTTAAATACATTTACTATCTCATTTCAAAGATAATTTTAATAATCCATTTCTTAAAACACTGGATACAATTTGAGGCTTAGTGTTTTTAAAGGCATAGGTTTCCCCCTTATTGTTGACAGCTGATCTACCATCAGCCAGCAAAGAAAATACAGATATGTTCTCAGTCAGACCCCTCTGTGGCATCTGCCCATGAAGGGGCTGGGGACATAAGTCTCCAAAGAGGGACAAAATGACTTTCTCCTTCCTGTGCCAAAGGGGCAGTAGTCCTGCATCGTTGGGCACACACCCCAGTTGACATTTGCTTTCACTTTCATACTGTTATGATTTAACCTGGCCAATCAGTGTTCTAGATCAGAAAGGAGGCGGAGGTGGGAGCGGCTGGAGGCGTGGAGGTGAGAGGCGTTGGAGATGGCGCGCTGGTCTCCTACCTCGGCTCCTGGCTCCGCTTCTTCCCCACCGCTCGTTGATCAGTGCGCTGGAATTAGATATTATGTCGAGGATGTTTTTAATATTTTTAAGTTTTTACCTTTCCTTCAACCTGGTGAGTTACGTTCCCGCTCGGGGCAAGCCAGGCTGTTTTCCTTGCTTCTCTTTCACTCCACACGAGGCGCATCCCGGAGCACAGATGGCCGCGCCCAGCAGCTGCTGCTCTGTGGAGAGTGGCAGAACCGAGCAAGTAGACATCCGAGAGACATGAGGACGAAATACTGATGAGTCTCTTGTGTGAACAGGAAAAAATATATGGTTTTCTATCTTGCAAGGACAGCAGAGTTTCAATTCTTTACAATTTTTATCAGCAAGTCATAAGTACCAACTAACTAGACCTGATTCCATTTTTTTAAAATTGTGGTTGTTGATACGCAGATAATGTTGAAGGGCAAACGAGACACACGAGGTGGTTCCAGGGTCGCGTGCCCCTCGCCTGTGCCCACTTGCTGAAGGGGAACTTTGCTCACAGGGGATGTTTACTTGTGGGATTTTTCTTCCTGAGTGGGCTCAGCTATTCACCTTTGGGGTTTTATCTGTAAAGTCGTGGACTCAGTGGACCCTTGAGTGATGTCTAAATGTGGAAATGTAATAAAAATGAAAATCTAGGCTAGTGTCACCTTGTTTGTTTTCCTAAGACTCAAGAAGATCCATGCAGTGGTTTTTATCAGCATGTTATCTGTGACTCATGCTCTGATGACTGCCTTTCTTTACTCTGTGCCTTTAAAGACAAATTTCAATTCTGCACAAGTGAACATTAAAAATGACCAATGCAAATAATGGAGCTTGTCTTTAGTGTGGTAGTTTGGCCCTTGGCCTACCGTGTTTGTATTCCCTAGAGGACCTGACGGTCAGCACACAACAGAGTATGCAGCGCCCCCCAGCGGCCGCCACCTGTGCCACTCCAGAGCATCGCCAGCTCTGCTGATGTTACGTGGTGAAGCTTCGTGGAGAGTCCCTTCTTCATTTCTACAGCCTACGTCTGGGGACTGTCTGGTCCATGCCAGCTGCCTCTTCTGTCTTGCCTGCCTATGGCAGCTCTAATGAACTTAGCACTCGGCCACTGACTTAGCCCCCCACAGTTCACAAATGGCAAGGACATAGAGGTGGCCCCATAGGGACTCGCGAGTTCCTGACATCCTGTCCAACCTGGCTTTGTTCTGAAGGCTGAGCCAACAGGATTTGACAGGGAATCGGGTGTGGGCTGCAAGAGGAAATGAAGTGGTGGATGACTCCAGTGCACGTGGCCTGCATGACCGAGCGATGGATTTAAGAGTGACAGGAGAGGAGTGCCTTAAAAGGGAAAGTCAGAATTTTGCACACACTACATTTTTGTTACTTTTGTGCTGTGGGGCTGGCATAGTGCATTAAGCTGCCACTGGTGACGCCAACATCCTTGATTGGCACTCCAGTTGAGTCCTGGCTGCTCTGCCTCTGATCCCACTCCCTGCTAACACACCTGGAAAGGCAGTGGGTGAGGGTTCAAGCACTTAGGTGGTGCCTGCTACCGAGGTGGTATCCAGATGGCCTGGACTAGCCCCAGCTGTTGCCACCATCTGGGGAGTGAATCAGCAGGTGGAAGATTGCTCTTCCTCTGTCTTTCTCTGTCACTCTGCCCTTCAAATAAATAAGTACATCTTTAAAATTGACATGCAAGGATGGCGTGGTGAGCCAGAAACCAAATTAGACAGCTCTTTATTCTAGTTGGTTTTGGGGTGGGGAAGGGAGACACAAAAACATGAAGTGGCAATTGGAGGCAGAGATGGGACTGAGAAGCCTTTTGTCGGGCTCACTTGCTGCATGGGGCTGTTGTGAGGAGAGGAGAGCTCTTGTTTGGAGGTGCTGAGCACTGACACTTGTTAACCCTGACACTGATCAACACCAGGACGTACAGGAGCACTGCACTGACAACATCCCTAACCCAGCTGGCCTCAGGGGCGAGGAGGGGCCAGAAAACGAGGCTTTAAAGGAGGAGGCAGCAGGGGCAGGCTGGGGGTCCTGGAGAAGCACACGGAACTGCTGGCTAGGAGCCAGGCTGTCAGGCTGCAATCAACACATTCTCTGTTGTTAAGCTTCCTGAATCCTCTCTTTCCAATTACAAACAGGGAAGTTGACTTTCTGTCTCATTTGTGTTGCACTCAATTTTGATCTCCCCAGAAGGGCAGGTGCCCCACATTCCCACTCTTGACAGTGTAAAGAATCCCCTGGGCCTAAAAGGGTACACAGGAACACATCTCCGCCCCCCAAACTGAGACTTGGTCCCTTCCTTCCTGGTTTGAGGAATCCATCCTTTGCATATGTAATGAGCACCTACAAAGTGCCAAGTACTGTGTTTTTGGTTTTTTTAAGATTTATTTTATGGGAATGGCAGATCATATTTATGTCAAGAAGGAGACACAGAAAGATCTTCCACCCTGTAGTTTATTCCCCAAATGGCCATTATGGCTGAAGCTGAGCTAAGTGAACCCAAAGCCAGGAGCCAGGAGCTTCCTCTGGGTCTCCGATGCAGGTTCAGGCTCCCAAGACTTTGGGCCATCTACTGCTCTCCCAGGCTGTAAACAGGGAGCTGGGTGGGAAGTGAAGCAGCCGGGATATCAACCTGTGCCTTTATGGGATCCTAGTATTTTCAAGGTGAGGATTTAGCCATTGAGCCATCATGCCAAGCCCAAGGTGCCAAGTGCTGTTCTAAGTCCTGGAAAACAGAAAAGCAAAAGAGAAATCAGAACTCCTGCCCGTGTGGGACTCAGATTCCAGTGTTCCCCCAGTGCAGGTACATATAGCTGAGCACCTGGATCCCTGGGGGAAGGAAAGCTCGGCAGGCCTCCATGACCACCCCATCCTGGAGGTTAGGTCTTTTGACCCACACGGGAGCCTGTAGCTGGGTGGTCTGAGCGCCAAACGTGCTGAGCGAAGCCCCTTGGGCCATCTGGGGGCACTCCCTCACGGTTAGAGGGACTTGATTTACAGGGGGATGATGGGATCTCATTAGGTAGTAGTGGGAGATGACCTGTGGTTTTTGTGCCCAGGTTAGGAATTACCATTGAGGGACTTTCATAGATAAGTCCACGACATGTGTATGTATGTAGGGGGGCCAAAACCAAAGTGGTTTGGAGGGGAAAACAAGAGTGAGAGAATTGGGTCTGATAGCAAAATCTGTGGGGGCAATGTGGGCTCACCCCTGTGGAACGGCAATCTCTGCTGGCTTGCCCAAGAACTGCGGATGGGGTCAGACCTTGCGAGGAAGCTAAGGAGACGCCCCAGCTGGGCTGAGGTTCCCACTGGTGAGAATGAGAGTAGGACTGAGGGCAGCAGGCATGGCCGTACATGGTTACAGCCTCCACCGGCACGGGTGTGCACTGGCATGGTGGAGCGGCAGATTGGGCTAGATCCCAGCCCCCAATGGTACTTGTGAGAGCCAGGTTGGGTGCAGAACAGGCCAGGCTAGGTCTTCACTTCCGCTGAACTACGTGAAAGCTGTGTCTGGGCAAGGGCCAGGGAGCAACAACCAACAAGAAGAACCAGAATGGGCATGGCTGGTTGAGCAAGGCCATTGTTATAGTCAGGACAGGAGATGGACAAAGTCAACCTGGGCCAATGACCCACTGGAATGTGTGAAAACTGCCACTGGGAGGAGACTCGATGGAGGAGCCTGGGAAACTCCTTCACTGGGATGCAGTCCCTGCAGGTGAGCACAAGAAGCAAGGCAAGGAGCAGCCCTGATCATGCCAGGTTACATGTGGATCAGATCTAGGGACAGACCAGTCTGGGCCAGCACATAACACCACTGGCAGATCTGCGAACTAGGGCAGGGAGCAGAGGAGCCAGATCAAGCCACAATACCAGCCAGTTCACATGAGGACCAGGACAGCAATCAGACTGGGCTGGGATAGGTTGCATCACCCACCAGCTGGAGCTGGAACAGGGGGCAGACTAGACGAGGCCAGGCCGCAAAATAAGACTGCAGATGTTGAGGTGAGGCGAGTCATGCCAGCCTGGGCCCAGCAGGGGGCCAGATATGTGAGTCCCAGGTATGGAGAATCTGGCAGGACTCAGGTAGCTTCACTCAGATCATGGGGCCCACCTGTGTGGTGAGGGAGGGGTTCCTAAGCCCCAGGGATGGAGGAAACGGTGGGGTGTGGGTAGCTTGTCCCAGATCCTGGGGCCCACCTTCTAGGTGGGTGTTGGTTTCATGAACCCCAGGAGTGGGAAATCTGGCTGGGCTTGGGTCTCCTGGCCCAGGTCCCAGGGCCTGCCCTCTAGGTGGATGCTGGTTTCATGAGTCCCAAGGGTAGGGGATTCAGTGGGCCTCAGGTCGCCTGGCCTGGGGCCTGCCTGCAAGGTGGGTGCCAGGTTTATGAGCCCCAGGGGGGGCGGGAATCCGATGGATTTAGATCACCTGGCCCAGGTCCTGGGGCCCCGCTTACTATGTGGGTGTGGGATTCATAAGCCGCATGGGTGGGGGATCTGGCAATACTTGGGACATCTGGTCCAGGCACTTGGACTCGCCTGCAAGAACATGTCCTACTTAATGAAAAAGGCAGAGCAGTGGACACAAGCCCTGTTGTAAAAGCAGAATATGGCAGCACATCTGGTGCCTTAGCAGAACAATAGAACTAACTGGACAACTACCCTAAACGAACGATGACAGCAAAAAAATCTTGGTGAATGGAGCCAATGGACATTGGGAGGGTGACATCATCCTGTAATGGTGGAATCAGCAGCATTTCAGAACGATCCAAGCCACTTGGACAGAACCCTTGAAGTATGTACACATTGAGACTCTGGGTTGATGTGAGGTGGCGGTTCCTCATCCCCGGGTACTAGAATGTGTGGAAAGTCAAGAGTAGCTCCCCTTTAGTCTCTCCCTTCCCCTAGAAACAAGAAGAAATAGCAAATTTGGAAGCAATGAGTTCACCCAATTTTCCCTAAACCTAGATTCTTCCCACCTTGATCAACCATGTAATCATTATTAAGAAATAAATTTTATTTTAAAAAAGATTCCAGGGCCTGGAATAGTAGTAGACTTTAACGTAGTAGTTAAAGTCCTCGCCTTGAACGTGTCGGGATTTCATATGGGCACCAGTGCTAATCTTGGCAGTCCTGCTTCCCATCCAGCTCCCTGCCTGTGACCTGGGAAAGCAGTCGAGGACGTCCCAAAGTTTTGGGACCCTGCACCCACATGGGAGACCTGGAAGAAGCTCCTGGCTTCGGATTGGCTCAGCTCTAGCCGTTGCGGCCGCTTGGATAGTGAACTACCAGAAGGAAGATCTTCCTCTGTTTCTCCTCTCTGTATATCTGACTTTCCAATAAAAATAAATAAATCTTAAAAAGATAAAAAAAGATCCCAGTGTCCCATGTTTACAATGGTGAGTGCTAGGGGAATGAAGAAGGTATGAGGGCAGTGTGGAATATCAGCGTAGGGCTGGGATCACTTTGAAGCAGAGTTGCAGTAAGGTCACTGGCAATGGTAATGTTTGGGGAAAACAGCAGTTGTCTCTGTGATGAAATGAGGCTCAGGCTGCTGATGCTGGATGGCCAGGTCGCCAGAGCCAAGCACTGCTACAAGGAAACAGCCTTGGACAAGTGGACATCCTCAGTCCACTTCTGGAAAAATTTGGAAACATGCATTCCCCAATTCTCAGATTACCAGGACTTTCAAAGGAGAAAGTTGAGTTGGGAGAATCTAATGGGTAAAGTCCCTTGATTGTCAGGTGGATTGCCAGGGTCCGTTTCCACAATCAGGCGAAGTTCATTAGACAAAAACTTGGCAGTGATAAATTCTTCCTTACCTCAGGTCAGTAGTTCCAGCTATTTCCCTGGAATTTTTTTTTAAAGATCTATTTATTTATTTGAAAACCAGAATGTCAGGAGAAAGAGATCCTCTATCTGCTGATTCACTCCCCAAATGGACACAGCAGCCAGGCTAGGCCAGGCCAAAGCCAAAAGCCTAGAATTCTATCCAGGTATCAGTGTTGGTAGCAGGGGCCCAAGCATTTGTGCCATTATCCACTACCTTCCCAGACACCATTAGCACAAGATCAGCACTTAGCTTGTGCTCATCAGAATGTGAGAAGGGAAGGAGGGCACACTTTCTTTGCAGTTGCAGGTGCACTGCAGTCACAGTTAGCATGTGAGAAGGGGAAGGAGGAGGGATGTATTAGTTACACAAGCAACAAACAGCGTGTGGGTGACCCAGCACATCTCAGGAATAGCCCTGCAGCCAGCACGCCTGGTGTGGAATGGACCAAGGGCAGAGCACAGAGGAGAGGTCAGAGACACATAGGAGACCCGATAAGTGACCGCAGTGGTACCTCCCAGGGTCTTCCAAAGTCTGCAACCACCAGTCCTTAGGAATTAGCCTCCTGTCAGCCCCTGCACACACCTGTATCCTGAGGAATGTAGCGTGATGCATGAGAATCCAGTGGACTCAGGCTCAGGGACAGTGGCTGAGAGGACAAGGAGAGGCCCTAGAGCCAGGGCGTGAAAGAAGTGAAGGAGCAGAGAGACTAAACCCAGGTTTTAGCCATTGGGCTGGAGCAAGGGGGCCAGCCCAGGGGAGGAAACCCCTCCCACCCACCTTGCCTCCGGAGCCAGTACACTTGTCTGTGAAGGATGATTGGTGGTGGTGGCGTGGGGAGGGCCAGGGGGTAGGGCTCCAGCTGAGACAGGGACTTGGAGCCAAGTTCAAAGGAGCTGTGGGAGAGCCTTAGCTGGATTAGCCAAGCCAGCACCTCATCCAGAACAGCAGGTACCCAGTCTAATGAAGCAAGACCCTTAGTCTCCAAAGCTCTGCCCAGGCCTTCAGAGCCAGAGCCAAGAGCCATGGGGTGCAGAGCCAATCAGAGGCAACTCCCAAGTTCCCATCACCAACACTGGGAGCCCTGAAAGGCAACACCCAGTTCTTTCTGGCATTCGGAAGCAGTTTCCACCCCAGACCAGCACACAGCAGTGCCACCCTCACAGGGGTGCAGGACGTGGAGGTGCTGTCCTAGGACACATGTGGCACCACTGAGCCCTTGCCACAGCTGCCCAGAGTCACCCCACAGGTCACCATCCTGCCTCTGTGCTTAGCACCCCCTCTACACCCTGTACCCTTCTGGCTCCCTTCCCTCCTGCCCGGACAACAGAGCCCCAACAATCAGCTCCCAGCCCCACTGCACAGGAAACTGAGCCTAACTGCACACATCCTGGTTTGTACCCATGTTGGGGGCTTTTATTTACAGACAAGCCTAGGTGACTGCAGGGAGGAAGGCGGTGGAAGGTGGAACAGAGCAGGGTGCCTGGTGCTTAAATACTTAGATGGGGGACAGGGGGCAGTTAATGCGGCTGGTTCAGGAAGGCCGCCTCAGGGCAGTCATCCGCTCCTGGTCACCTAGTAAGTTCAGAGTGACAGCGGGATCAGGAAGTGGCAGGGACTCCCAGAATGGGACAGGTGGCCAGCAGAACACGGTGCGGGGTTGGCGGGGGGGGGGGGGGAGTCTGGCTGTGGAAGGAAAGTCACCACTGCTCTTGGGGTTCCATCCCCCCACCCCTGAGCCATTTATCCCGGCCGTGGGCCTCACCTTGGCATGCCTCTGCCCCTGCCCCCCCACCCCCGCTGTCCCACATATGTTAGATTCTGGTTCTTCAGGACTTGCAGGTCCCAGCCGGAAGATCCTGGGGCAGCAAGTCCCCTGGGAGGCAGCAGGTGCACATCCTGCTGGAGTGGACCTGATCCTTCCCCACCGCATGGCTGCTGGGCTCCATCCTGGTCATGCTCACGGTCCCTTGATGGATCCCGGCTCCGTGAGGCGGGCCGAGGTGTAGGCAGAAGCCCCCAGGCAGGCTGCGGGTTCACAGAAACCCGGCAGCCCCACGGGCCCTGGCAGGCCAGGTCGGCCAGCCTCTCCAGGAGCCCCTGGGGATCCCCGGTCTCCATCCTTGCCATTGATGGCCTGGCCAGGCCGGCCAGGGAGTCCTGCAAAGAGGCAAGGTCAAGACACTGGGGGTTCATCCTGTTCAGCCCAGGGAGACCCCAGAAGGACCTCTGACCCAGCTGGGATGCGTAAGGCCTGGAAGCCACATAGCGGGAGGTGCTAGGCTCAGGTGCACCCCTGGGAGGCAAATGCAGTGTCTGAGGGCTGAGGCCTCCACTGTGGGTCACTGACTCCCAAGCTGAAGGACAGAGCTGTGGCTAGGCTTGTTTTGGCCAGGGCCACTGCCTTACCTGGGATTCCTGGGGGTCCAGGCATCCCCGGGTGTCCGCGTCCGACTTCTCCTTGATCCCCCTTCTCGCCGCGTTTTCCTGTGAACAAACGAGGCAAACTCCGTTATCCAGAATCAGAAAAGGTTTACCCATTTTGCTGGTTAGTTTCTGCTGCACACTCAACAAGTGTCCTGTGCTCATTTATGGTCAAGCAGGAGGGACTGAGGCAAGGCAGGCCCAGAGATGGCAAGCCTCGGAGCTTCTGCTGGGCAGCGAGTCTAATGGCAGCTACCCAGCATGCCCAGGGGCAGGCTCCACGTACCCCTCCTCTAAGGGGTGACGTGACCTCTTCTACGTGACCTCATGCCAATACTGTGAACTCAGTACTGTTCAAGTCCCCACGGCACAGATGACAGGTCCAAGGCCCAGGAGAACGAACAGAGAACTGCCCACAACAGGCAAGGGACAGAATCTGGCCTCCCACCCCCTCCCACTCTCCTGTCCTGACACCTGCTCTTCATCTCTGGAGACCAAGGATGAGGCTGCCACCCCCCCTCCCCGCCCCTCGCCCCATCTCCCCAGCCTCACACAAAACCCAGGTTCTCCAGCAATGCCCGTGCTTCCCTCCCAGGCATGGAGGCCTCATGACCTATTGAGGAGTGAGCGGTCTGCCACCCAACCCATCCCCTCTCCAGCCTCAGCCCAGCACCATGCAGCACTTACCCTTTGGCCCCGTGTTGCCAATCTGACCCACGGCTCCCACGATGCCAGGTATGCCTCGAGGGCCAGGGTGCCCCTGGGGACCCTGCTTGCCTGGGTATCCAGGCGGCCCCGGGGGGCCCGGGGGACCCATGATGCCCACGGCACCCAGAGCCCCACGCTTGGCACTCACAGCCACCTCTGCCAGTTGCTCTGCAGGGAGAGAGAGCCGAGGTAGAGGAAGCCCACGCGGGTGGTCCTGCCCGCGTGCCCCCTCTGCCTCCTCCTGCGTACGCCCTCTGCCTCCTCCCGCACTCTCCTTTTTAGGAGGTCCACAGCGAGCCATCCCAGGTTCGGTGCTGCCACCAAAAGGGGCCCCGAGCGACCAGATCCAGGTCCCTCACCTTGCAACATCTTCACCACCACGTCCACGATGTGCTGGTCACTGGGATCGCGGCCCTGGAGCGCAGGCGCCTTTCAGGAGGAAGCCCCGGGCTACCTGGCCCAGCCCTCTCTCCCCTCTGGTCCTGCTGCTCCCAGCCTCTTCCAGACGAGTCCGTGTGGCCGCGCGCATACCTGTCCCTCTGGCCTCCCAGGTCCCGGTCCCCAGCCCCGAGCCACTCACCGCCACGCCCTGTCTCCCGGGCTGGCCTGGCACACCGCGGTCTCCAGCCAGTCCTCGAGGCCCGGGCAGCCCGGGGTAGCCCTGCACGCCGGGGGCGCCCGCATCCCCGCTGGGGCCGGGGTAGCCGGGTTCTCCACGCACTCCTGGCTGTGGGGCGGAGGAGTGGGAGCAGAGCCGGGATGAGCTGGCGCCGTGCAGCCCGGCAGGGGCAGGAGGAGCTTGGGGAAATAAGGGACTGCGGAGGCAGGGGGCGGGGTGTTGGCGTCGGAAAGGGCGGAACTCACCTGTCCTTTGGGTCCTGGCGCTCCAGTCTCGCCCTGCGGGTACCAAGAGCCGCGGTCACGGTCACGCACAGCGGACATGGACCAGCCGCCGGTCTGACCCGACCCTGGCGCTCACCTTCTCGCCTTTCTCTCCGGGGAGGCCGGCCACACCTGGGTCGCCCTGCAAAGAGCACAGAGTCAGACTGCGCGGTGACTGCTGGGTGCAGCCAAGACTGCCTGTCTGGGACCCCTCTGGGTGTCCCTCCTGGACAGTGGGAATGCGAGGGGGCTGGGACTGACTCACCACTCCACCGCGGGGCCCGGTCTTCCCGGGGGAGCCCTAGAGGAGAGAGAGAAGTGAGGAGGGGCACCCCTCTCGCGGGGTCATCGCCCATTCTGCCAGCTGCCCGCCGGAGCCCCCGCTTCCTCCAGCCCTGCCCCTTCCCGCCCAGTTCCCAAGCCCCACGGATTTGCAGCGCCCCCAACCCCACCAGTCAGCCTTAAGATCTTTCCCAGGTATTTTCCCAGCACCGGGCACCTTGTCACCCTTGATGCCTGGCAAGCCTTGGGGCCCCGGAATTCCGGGGGGTCCTTGCTCCCCCTTGGGGCCCTGTAGGGAGAAAAAAAAAAAAAAAAACAGAAGAGAAAATCCAAATGGGTGCAAGGAGATGCTGTTCCCCGCATCTCTCAGCAGCCAGCTCTCACCTGGCGTCCTTGGAGGCCTGGCTGACCCACTGGGCCCCTCTCTCCCTGGTCACCCTGAAATGGAAATAAAAGGTCACACCCAGCTCTGGCCCAGAACCTGCCCCATTAGGGCCTTCCATGCTCCCTGTCCCCAGCAGGAGGCCACTGGCTCCATTCCACAGACCAGCAAACTAAGGCCCAGACTCCTCATTGACTGGGCCATACCCAGCAGGTGCTGAACTCGGAGAACAGACCCAAATTCTGGATTCAGCAGTGTCAGCTCCTGAAGGGACCCCCAGTCATGGGCCCCCAGCCAGGCACTTACCTTCTGCCCTAGGATGCCACGTGGGCCAATTTCTCCCCGAGGTCCTGGCTCTCCCTGGGGGGAGGGGGAAAATGGTGAGCAGCAGGCCTAGGGGCACCTTCCATGAAGCCTGCTTAACCCTTCCTGCCCTGGGCTTGAGCTCAGCAGCCTCATCAGGGAAGCGGTCAGAGACGTCCCCCTACCACAGGCTCTCAGGCCCCTGGGCTTTCCCTTCTTGGGACACAGTTTGCATTAGTTACTATACAGTCACTGGTTTTGTATCTGCCTTGTCCACTGAATAGGAGCCTGTACCTCACTCCATGTCTAGGATGTCTGGTGTCAGGCACCTGATGAATGACTGGGCCAGTTTGGCCATGTCACATCCAGGACAACAGCGGTCCCCACCCTCGCTGCAGTGCACACAGGGAACCGGGCCCTGAGACAATAATGGGCTTGCTGGGCTGGTGTGGATCAAGGCAGAACCCAAACTAACCCAGGGCAGCCCAAGGTTAGGGTACCAGCCCGCGGCCTCATCCCTGCCCCATGCCATATGCAAGGCACTGAGGAAGGAAGGGCCAGTGCAGGCACCCCACCTTAGTGGGATGGTCACTTACCTCTTTCCCAGGGGGACCAGAGAATCCAGGGAGGCCCTGCTGGCCTGGCTCGCCCTGCAGGGCAACAATACAGTTCTTGGATCAGCCTGGCTGTCTCAGGCACAGCCTTAGCTTTGGGAAAGCCCAGTGAACCCTAGATAGAATCTAGAGGCAAATGAATCAGGAAAGGGGAGCTGTCGTTCCTGGGGGAGCTCCTGGGCTCCCCAAGCCCCCTCGAGCCATCTGGAGGCTGGAGAGTGGGAGTGGTAAGGGTAGATGCTGGGCTTTCAGTTTTCAGCCCTTGTCTCCAGCATCACCCCCAACCCTGGGCTGCCTTGCGCATGTGAGATTAATCTCCCCGCCCCCCCCCCCCAACTTGGGGTCACCTCACCTTGTCTCCAGGTCCTCCTTTAGCCCCAGGCTGGCCTGGCACACCCTGCAGAAAGAGGCAGGCATCAGCTTCTGCTCTGGCATGAGGAAGCCTTGAACACCTGCTGCTCTGTCTCTCCTCCCAGTCCAGGTGCCCCCACCTTGTGGGAGATGATCAGAAGGCCCAGCCACAGCATTGGGACTTGCTGGTTTTCCCACCCCTGCCCTGACCCTTGCGGGAAGAGGAGTGGGGCACAGGAGGCAGGCTTGTGGTCCACAGGGAAAGCATGTGTACTCAGGGCAAGGGGAGGCCAAGTCTGGTCTCCCAGAGGCCTGGAGAGGCAACTTGCCCTCAAGGCGGTCCCCATAACTCCTCTATACTCACCGCCAGACCCTGGTGGCCTTGGCTCCCTGGCCGCCCTGCCTTCCCCGTGCTACCCTGGGAAAGACAGAAACGTGCGCAACTATTAGCGCTCTGGTCAGAGGGTCTGTGCCTTCCATCCAGGTGCCAGGAGGGAACCCAACATCCGGGGTGGGAAGAAACACATTCATGATGCCCCCAGTCCCTGTGCGTGTGAACCCAGGTTCTCCCCACCCCCACTGGCCCTTCTCCTACCTTCATGCCAGGGATGCCTGGAGTCCCATCCTTGCCGTTGATGCCTGGGGGTCCCTGTGTGGCAGGAAAGTTCAGGGGAGACTCACAGTGGGTAAGTCATGTGGAGTCAGGTCATCTCCTCCCCACCCCCATGACAGCTGATGTGTATGGGAAGGAAATAGGTCTGGCTGATGTGGCAAGGGGTTAGGGGAACGGCCCAGGGATCCCCCAACCGCCACCCTGCCTCGGGGGGCAACTAAGACTAGGAGATACTGCCTGCAGTCCCAGGTTCCACCCTGGTGCCCGCGGCCTCTGCTTATATAGGCCTGGCTCCTGGCACTTACGGTTGCTCCCTTCGGACCTGTTAGCCCTTGGACTCCAGGAACACCTTGGCTGCCCTGCAAAGTAGAGCTCGGGTCACCTTCAAACCGCTGGGTCCCTATCAGGCTGGGCAGAACCTCTAGGTCCCAGCATCCTTCTGGTGGCTGGGGTTAGAGGACCAGGCAGGTTAATTCAGGACAGTCAGGCTGGGGCAGGGTAGTGGAGGGGAGGGAAAGGAGGTGGCAGGGGGAGGGCTGGCAACCAGCCAATGGCATTGGTGGATTTTTGAGTGGGTCTCCCTCCGAACGAGGACTGAAGGGACATTTGGAGGGAACATCTCTGGCCAAAACTGCTGGATGAAAAAAACATTTCCTACATTGGCTGTGATGGGATGATTTTGTGGCAAAGGCTGCATAATTTAGACATCGAGGGAGAAGCAGTTTTGGGTGAAAGGCCAGGTTGGGTGGGCCTTGCTTGATGGATTATAGCAAAACAAGAATGAAGAGCTGGAAGGAGGGAGAGAAGGGGCAACGCCGACAGAGGCGGTGCCCAGGGGTGGGCTCAAAAGGGTACTCCTGCCACTCGCTCTGCTTCTCTATATTCTAAAATAGACAAAGTTGCATAAAAAAACAAACAAAAACCAGAAATTCCTAAGTATTTAACTAAGAATTAACAGAGGGAGGTGATCTGGGTCTCAGACCAAATCCGTATCAGCCTCATGGTTGCTTTGCTGGGATTTCATTGTGTCTGGTCCCAGGGACCTCAGTACTGGATTCCATGGTTTCTCCCAAAGTGGGAATCTGGACACAGTGCTCCCCGCCAGCAGTCAGCCACACCCCCCACACACAGGTATACGCAGGTATACCTGCACACACAGGTATACGCACAGTGACATGCACACACTTGAACACACAGGTACACACAGCGACATGCATGATGACAAACTGACACGCACATGCACAGTGACACACACACACAGAGACACACACAGTGACACACACACCAGCCCTGGGGGCAGCTGAGCGCTGCCCAGCACTCCCAGAACACCGGTCAGATAGGGCACACATCTGGACTTACCACATCCCCCTTCTCCCCGACTCGGCCTGGTGGTCCCCTCGGACCTTCTTCACCCTGACAAGGACGATGGATTGCGGGTCACACAGGCTCCGTGGGAGCCTCAGGCACGCTGCATCTGTGTGAACCCCGCCAGGTAGTGGGTGGAGGAGCAGACTTACCGGAGGCCCTGCGGCGCCGACAGAGCCCACCATACCTTTGTACCCTTGAGGACCCTGGAGACAGGACCAGGCTGCCGTCAGTCCTGGCGGCACCCCAGAGGCCACCAGGTTGGCCAAGGCTGCTCTGGCAGGACCCGCCTGACTCACTCACCGTTTCTCCCTTGGGTCCCGCCACACCTGGGTAGCCCCTGATGCCCTGTGGACCCTGTGAAGGCAGAGAAATGATAGCAACAGTGACAGTTCAACAGTTCATGGCCCCTCTCTTGCCTCCCACCCCTACCCTGCCCCACGAGAGGTGGGCAGCACTCAAGGATGGGGAGCAAGCCACTAGGGTCACTCAGAGGGACAGTGCAGGACCTGAGCCTCGGCCAGGTCCTATTCCTTAATTCCTGACATTAGCCTCAGCCCTACTCTGCCACCAGAGTTCCTGTGGTGGGATACAACCCCAGGGGCAAAGCAGGGCAACTCCAGGAAGGTCTGCGAGGACAAGCAGGCCACAGGTCAGGTGCTTCTTACCGGGGGTCCAGGAATGCCTTGCTCTCCAGGGGCTCCTGCATTGCCCTTGGGACCCTATGGGGCAGGAAGGAGCCATCAAACAGACAGCTGGGATAGGGGAGGGGAGGGAACAGAGAGGAGAGGACTCCATCTCTGCGCCCTGCAGAAACAGCCTCGGAAAGCGCACAGGCAGGGAACCCAGGATGAGCAGTAAGGAGTGGCACAGAGACCTCCTGGATCTCAGCTTAAAGCCACCTACCACCCCAGAACCCACAGGAAGGGCGGGGCATGCCGAGGGGGCCAGAGCCCCCAACCCTCTCACTCACCGGCTTCCCCTGGCGGCCAGGATCACCGAGCACTCCACGCTTGCCAGGGTGCCCCTGAAAGGAAGTGGGGTCAGCACAGGGTCTCTCCCAGTTCAACTGCTGGCGGCTCTACCCTCCCAAGACCCAGGCCGCGAACTCTCACCTTCACACCCTGGAGCCCTGGGGGACCCTTCGCTCCCGCAGGACAGTTGGTTGGACACTGGAAAGACGACGCCACAGGACATCGTGGTCAGAGGCCTGGCTGGGCTGAGGCTCCGGGGCAGTGCAGTCCCTGGAGCCCCTGAGCTCCTGATCCAGCCCTGCCCCATCTCTCACTGAGTCCGCTCCCAGAAGGACCCCACCTCTTACCAGGAAATCTGCGCTGCCTTCCAGGCCCTGGATGGTCCCCGGGCGGCCCTGAGAAGAGACCACCAGAGCTGCAACTGGACCCGACCCTTCCCCACCCAGAAGCATGTGACCACCTGGGAGGTTGAGGGTACTTACCGGTTTCCCAGGAGGGCCTGGGGGGCCTGATGGTCCTTCTGGTCCTGGATCCCCCTGGAATTCAGAAGGACCTAAATTAGGCCCCTGCGCTCCCTTTTACTTTCTGCCATTGCCCCATCCAACTACCCTCCAAGCCACCACCACATCTATCATAGGACTGGCTTAGAGGCAGGGCTTCCTGCCCCAAGCCTGGAAGAGTTCTGGGGGGAGGCAGAAGCAGGCCTAGAAACTTCCAGGGATGGAGGGCACAGAAGGGGTGCTGCAGGACTTACCTTGGGGCCTGGGATTCCAATCTCGCCAGGGAGGCCTACAGGTCCCGGGGGTCCCTGGGAAGTAGAGATGTGGCTGGCCAGACATCCCTCCCTCCCTGAGACAGGATTCAGGCCACTTTGGGCTTGAAGGTAGGACAGGGGCACACACAGCCCCCTTCTGTACTTTCTCACCAACCCCAGGGAGAGTGACAGGTGATGCTTTGAAGGCCCAGGGAAGCCCACACTGAGTGGCCAGGACCAGGGTGGGTGGGCTGGCCCAGGGTCTCCCAGTACCTATTTCCAGCACTGTCAGAACATGCCAGTCCCGCCCCTCGTGTCCATTGCCCCCAAAGCCCCTTTGTGGTCCTGCCTCCTCGGGGAGTCCCTGCCCACCCCTGAGGACTCACAGGAGGTCCAGCGAAGCCAGGGCCCTGGAACAGAAGGGAAGGAGACAGAGTTCATGGCTGTCTGCCCCTCAGGTCCTCCCTGCCCACCACCCTCACAGATCATGGCAGATTGTACTCACGGGCAGGCCAGGGGGACCTGGGAGTCCAGGCTGGCCCTGAAAGAATTATGGGAGAGGTTTAGTGTTGGGAGTCTCTGCTGAAGCCATCCCCACCCCAATGCTGGTCTTCGGTGCTCCATGCTGAGTCCCCTGGAACCATTCACCTTGACTCCAGGGGCTCCCATGGGCCCAGGCTCCCCCTTGGCACCAGTCAAACCCTGCAGAAGGAAAAGCAGATGGGATTAGGGGAGGGCAGCCTGCTGTATGAATGCGCAGAGGGTGGGCCCAGCCTGCCTGCTACCACAGCTGCTGTGGCCCCTACAGGCCTAGGGATCACAAGTTCTCTCCCACCCCTTTCCTGGGACCCACAGCAACCCCATCTGGTGTGCTAGCAGAAGGCAAGATGCTTTGCACGCTGCAGGGTGCGGCTGGGAGTGGCTGGTCCCACCCCTGCGACACCCAGCTTGTGTGTGTGTGTGTGGAGTTCTTTCCTTCCTTCCATCTTCCAATGTCTGACTCAGCTGTATTACCACCCGCCACCCCATTCCTGCCCAGGGTTGGGAATCTGGGAATCCCTAACGCCTGGCCCAGAGTGATCAGGACAAGATGCAGAGTCCTGGTCTGTGCTCAGCCGCCCAGTCATGTGTGTTCCCAGGGAGGGTGTGAGGCTCTGGGGACTCCCAGCTGGAGACGTTTCATTCTGCTGCTCATCTCGGACCAGGTCCGCCATGCCGCCAGGACTGAGCCCTAGGGCCAGCAGGTGGGGGCTCCACGTGATCTCCCCCATGCTTCGGTGCTCACATCAATCCCTGGTTTCCCATCCGGCCCGTCCGGCCCGGCTTTGCCAGGTTCTCCCTTGGGTCCCTTGAAAACAGAAAGTGGAGGGGGCAGATGTTAGCAGAGGAAGGCAAGGACGGGAGGGTTGAAGGTCAAGGGAAGCAAGCACTCACCGGAGGGCCAGCTTTCCCAGGAGGTCCCTTGTCACCCTGGAAGACACAAGTTGGTGAGGGCACAGCTGGGTTCATATGGGCCAGTCCTAAACACCCTCTCCTCCCCCTCCTCTTTGCTGCCCTCCCTCCTCAGTCTGACACATCTCCTGCCCTAAAAAAAAAAAAAAAACTGTGGGGAAAAAAAAAACCAGTTCTGGTGTTCTGGTGGGGGACAAGGAGACCCACCCAGCCAGGCTAGGGGGCTTGCTGCTCTGTGCCACTGGGTGAGGAAGGGGCAGGATGGACAAACTGGGACCATGGGATTTGGACAGTAGGTGAAAAGAGTGGGACTTTAAGGTGAGCCCAGGGGGGCAGCAACCGCACTGCGGACTGTGGGAAACCCGAGGGAGGCACAGGCGGGCAAGGGTTCTGAATGTCCCAAAGAGGAGAGGGACCCTCCCCCTGGCGACAGAGGCGCCGGCTGCAGACAGATATAGCCCCAGAGGGGCCCCCAGGCTCATCGCCTGCAGCCACTGGGGAGTTGGCAGGGGCCCAGCAGCCAGCTTTTGGGAGGCAGCAGGCTGAATAGGAGTCTGTCCAGACAGTAAACACAGAGCCCACCTCCCGCGGGGTCTGCAGCAGCACCAGCAGCAGCAGCAGGAATTTAACCCTTGCCACGCTAGAGGAGCAAGAAGCTCAGGCGCGGAGAGATGGGAGCCTGGCTGCCCCCTGAGACGTGCCAGGAGCAGAGGGCGAGGCTGGGCAGTGGTGGTGGAGGTGGTGGTGAGGCATTTCCCACCCCGAGAGCAGGGGCATAAGGACGCGCTGTATGCCGGCTACCGGCAGGTTTAACAGCGGGGCTTTGTGCGCCCCCCGGCTATAACAGGCTCTGCTTTCCAGAGCAGCTTTGAGGTTTTCGCAGAACAAACGCGCTCCTTGTGGCACGGGCCGTCACCGCCTCCTGGACACAGCGGGCACTGCACCCCCACGCACCTCAGCCCCTACTCCAAGCCCAGAGCACACAAAGTCCTCCTTTGTCTGCAGCCCGCCTCCCCCTCCCTCGGCCCTCGGCTAGGAGACTCACGTCGATGCCGTCGGATCCAGGCACACCCGGCGGACCTGGGGGGCCCGGAGGCCCTGGCTCTCCCGGCGGCCCTCTCTGAAAGCACACACAGGACAGTCCTCAGTGCAGGCAGCTAGGCGTCCCAGGGGTTGCGGGCGACCCTTCACCCCCCGCTCGGAGAACCGGGTACTAGGGCAGGGATACCCCCGGAGAAGGAAGCTCTGTGCGTTACGTGCGTTATCCTCGGAATACCCAGAACTGTGGGGGCACATGCGGGGTCGACCCCAGGTTCAGGAGAAGATGAGGAAGTTAAGATGCACAGAGGGTGCCGGGCACAGCCTGGTCTGCCAGATGCCCTGTGCAGTGTGCCAAGTGACCCTCGTGCCGTCGTGCGTACAGGACATGGAAGACGCAACGCCAGATGGGCCTCCAGGAGGTGCTGAATAAACTCTGGAGCCAGGGTTGCTATATTGAGACCTCCACGGGTGTTCCTAATGCGTGGCCACCACCGCCTCTCTCCCTCGTGTGGCCGAAAGCCGATGGGCAGCAGGAGCGCCATCGGGGAAGAAAGCACCCGTCGGGGGGAGCCCATCCCACGCCGGGAGCCCCTTCCCCAGCTCAGCCGTCCCGACCCCGCAGCAGGGAGTCCCGAGCAGGCCTGGCACCCACGATCTCTCGGGGACCTGGGGAAGTTGACAGGCTGTCGCCCCGCAGGCGAGCTGTGCCCCCCTCTATCCCGCGCCTGGAATCGCGCCCGGGACGGGTGAGCGGTCCGAGAGGCCGCGGCGGGGACGCGCGGCGACGTCTGGCCCGGAGCTGGCGCCCCTTGGGAAGCGGCGGGGGCAGAGGCTCCGCAGACCCGTGAATGGGCACCATTGTCTTCCCTGCCACCTGGGCCCTCGGGGCTGCCAGCGCCTGATCCCAGGCTGCCTGGTGGGCGCATCTCGGGACACAGGTCCCCCGGGCTGCCTGGCCTCTCCGGAGCCGGCCACGGCGCCTCGCCTCGTCGCATCTCCACACCGCGGGCCCGGGAAGTGGCAGGAGAGGGTGGGACACAGGTGAAGCCCTCGGTAGACCCGGCAGCCCTGGCTCCCGCCCAAGAGGAACCCCGGGACTTACGATCTGCGCCAGGGCGAGCCCTAGCACCTGCAGGAGGACGAGGAGGCTGCGGGGGGTGGCCATGGCTGGCGGCAGTGCAAGCAGGGCACCGGGGTCCGCGCTCGCTCCCACGGCGGCGGCGGCTGCTCCGGGGGCCTGGGCGGGCCGAGCCTCCTGGATATGCGGCGGGGCGGGGCGGGGGCCGGCGGGTCTGTCACCTGAGAGGACCGGGGGGCGGGAGGCCGGCGCCCTCCGTCCAACTCCGCCCCCGTTCTGTCCCGGCAGCCGGAGCCCACCCTCGCTCCTCCGCCCGGCCCTCCCGCAGACTTCGGCCGCCGCTAATCAGAGAGGAAACCAGGCTGCTGACGGGGTCCACGACGGAAGTCCCCTTCAACCCATCCCCTGACCCAGCACCTTCCCCCAGCTCTTGCCCCTGTGTCTAGTCACGATGCTTTTTTTTTCTTTACCCCATCTCACATGGCCTTCTGCACACCTGGACCACCTCCCCCCATCCCCAGTTGCCTGCCTAGGTCATCCAACCCACAAATACCCCGCGAGCACCCTACCTGTCACCCACTCGCCTCCAGCCCTACGGCAGCTGCATTCACTTCTGGGCCCTCTTGCTTCTGGCCTTCTTGCTTCTGCTCTTGCCCAGTGCTGGAGGTCTTTCCTGCCCAGGTTGCACCACGCGGCGCCCCTGGCTTCTTATCTCCAGCGATTTACCCCTCCACCCCTCCTCCGCACCCCGACCACTGCTGCGTCTAGTCCTGGGTTCGCACTCAACTTCATCTCCCAGCTCATAGGACGATCTGCATGGAAAGATGCAGGTGCCCTAAGTGGTAGTCTATCCCCAGTGCCAAGAGCCTGCATGAGACGGGCTTAAAAAAAAAGGATTTATTTTCAGGATCCGGCGCGATTGGATAGCGTAGTGGTTAAAGTCCTCGTCTTTTAAAAAAGATTTGCTTTATTTATTTTATTGGAAAGTCGGATATACAGAGAGAAGGAGAGACAAAGAGAAAGGAAGATCTTCCGTTTGATGAATCATCCCCCAAGTGGCTTCATCCCGAAGTCAGGAGCCCAGAGCCTCTTCCGGGTCTCCCACGTGGGTACAGGGTCCCAAGGCTCTGGGCCATCCTCAACTGCTTTCCCAGACCAGGCAGGGAGCCAGATGGGAAGTAAGGCTAGCTGGGATTAGAACCGACGCCCATGTGGTATCCCGGGCGTGCAAGGTCAGTACTTTAGATTCTAGGCTATCATACCAGACAGGCTTTGTAACTCAGTGTAATTCCCTTCAGATATTTTGAAACTGCTTGCCAATGTTTTCTCCTGTTTATTGCTCAGCACTATTTCATGGAATTGATGTACTGCGGTTTAACCATTCACCCATTGAAGATTTGGGGGATAGTTTCCAATTGTATTCTTTTTTTTTAAATTTTGTTTATTTTTATTGGAAAGGCAGATTTACAGAAAAGGAGAGACAAAGATCTTCCATCCACTGGCTCACTCCTCAAGTAGCCACAATGGCTGGAGCTGAGCCCATCCAAAATAAGGAGCCAGGAGCTTCTTCTAGGTCTCCCACGCTGGTGCAGGGTCCCAAGGCTTTGGGCCATCCTCTACTGTTCTACCAGGTCACAAGCAGAGAGGTGGAAGGGAAGTAGAGCAGCTGGGACACAAACTGGCACCCGTATGACATCCCAGCGGATGCAAGGCGAGGACTTTAGCCATTAGGCTAGTGCACCAAGGCCGTCTAATTGTAGTGTTTAAAAAAGCAAGCAAGCAAACAAACAAAGCAAAAACCTGTAGAAGCCAGCACCGTGGTGTAGCCAACTGTGCCTAACCCAATGCCAGCATCCCATACAGGCACTAGTTCAATTTCCAGCTGCTCCCATTCTGATTCAGCTCCCTGCTAGTATGCCTGGGAAAGTAGCCGAAGAGAGCTCAACCAAGTGCTTGGGACCCTCCACCCACATGGGTGACGATCCTGGCTCCTGGTTTCAGCCTGGCCCAACCTTGGTCACTGCAGACATTTGGGGAGTGAGGCAACACATGGCCGATCTCTGTGCATCTCTGTCTTTCAAACAGATAAAATAAATCTTTAAAATAAACCAATAAAGAAAAGCAAGGATTTGGTGATTAATCTTTAAAAATAGAACAAAACTGCTATGAAAATTCATTTACATGTTTTTTGCATAGACCAAAGCTTTCATTCTTTGAAACACATACCCAGAAATGCCAATTTAGTAAGTGTATACCAAGAACCTGCAATTCCTAGTTAATCAGAGTTGCTCATTTATTTAGAATTTTTAATTTTAATTTTATTTTTAATATTGTTTCCTAGTTGAGCAGAATGCATGCCCATATGGGCCTCGTATTTTATTTGGGGAAGGTGAATTAGGGTGAGGAGGGATTAGGTACTGAGGAATGTGGGTGGAACAAACGTTTTAATTATTATTTTTTCCCTCTCACGTCCACTGTGGGGGAAGGGACCACTCCTTGCTGTCAAACTACATCTACACTCGGGGACGGGGAGTTGTCATTGGATGACGCCTGAGAGACTACGACGTGGGGAATGTGAACTTGAGTGGTTTTGACCGTACTGACACATTGTTCATTTCATTGTACCAGGGTTGAGAACATCTTTCCAAGGTCTGTTGGCTGACCAAGTCCACCTTAGGACATCCACAGACCCAGGAACTTGCTGCAAAGCTTGGCCAGGGAGTTATTCGACTTGTTCTGCTTTCCATCCTCTGACGAGGCACTGGACATCCTATGCTGGCCTAAATGAGCTGGCTGTCATATCACCCATGTGCATCTGAACATGCTGTCCCCTGCACAGGCATCTGAGGGGGCCCAGTCCCAATACATGTGCTCCAAAGTCAGAGCACATACTTTGTCAGTTTCCCTGTGGCTGGCGTTTGAGTCCAGTGATCTAGCTGGGGAGCACCCTAAGAAACCTCATCTGAGGACCCGGCATGATAGCCTAGCGGTTAAAGTCCTCACCCTGAACACGCTGGGATCCCATATGGGTGCTGGTTCTAATCCCGGAGGCCCTGCTTCCCATCCAGCTCCCTACTTGTGGCCTGGGAAAGCAATCAAGGATGGCCCAAAGCTTTGGGACCCTGCACCCACGTGGGAGACCCGGAAGAGGTTCTGGGCTCCTGGTTTCAGATTGACTCAGTTCCAGTTGTTGCGGTTACTTGGGGAGTAAAGCATCAATGCAAGATCTTCCTCTGTCTCTCCTCCTCTCTGTATATCTGCCTTTCCAATAAAAATAAATAAATCTTAAAAAAAAAAGGAAAAGAAAAGAAAAGAAACCTCATCTGAGGTGACCTCAGACTTGACTCATGAGTACCAGCTAATGCAAGTTTAGGTTCGGCCTGCCATCTACACCAAACAACATACATACCATTGGATGCAGCTGCCTAGTCGGTTTTGCCCCCAGCCCCATCTCTTGTGTGAAATAATGGGTGCTGTAGCCAGCCCTTCACTGGCCTTGCCCTCACACACCAGCAAGTGCTTCAGCTTCCTCAGGGTGATCTCCACTAACTCCCACCAGGCCCGACCCCAGCCCTGAGTTTTGCATTTGCAGGTGTGTGTTGTGGCCTAGCCTGGCCCATCCCGCATTCTACCTGGCTCTCGTGGACTCCTGTGGCTTAACTCAGCCTGATCTACCACCACGCTGGCACTCCCACATGCTCACAGGTGCTGCCACCCCGTCCAGCCTGGCCTGCTGCCAGCTGTGTTTCTCATGTTCACCAGCCAGTCACAGCCTAGCAAGTGGGCGCCCGCAGTTTCCCCACCAGACCCTTCCCAGCCCCAGATTTTGGGGTTGCCAGGGTTATCAAGCCTGACATGACTACCTAGTTCCAGAACTTGCCAGTGGGTGCTACAGCCTGGCCCAGCTGGCCAGTACCCATTCTGGCTCTTACGTGCCAGCAGGTGTAGCAGCCCAGCTAGCCTGGCCCAACCCAGACCCAGCCCACATGCCATTTGATGGGTGCTGTAGCCCTACCCAGACTGGCCTGCCTAGCTCTTGCTGGTGGTATAGCAGCCTAGTCCATCTGGCCCAGCCCCAACTCCAGTCCTCATATGTACGGGCAGATTTTGTGACCCACCCATTCCAGGCCTGAACCCTGTCCTTGCTCCTGCGCATGCCAGCATGTGCTGCAAACCGGCCCAGCCAAACCTGCCCCCAGACCTGGCCCACATGTATGAAAATAGGTGCTGCACGTGGAGGATATGGCAGACCATTGGAACCTGCGGAGGACACCCAGTACCACAACACAGGGCGGAGAACAGAACAAATTGATCATCTATGCCAACCAAGTGTTGGCAGTGAAAACCTGGGCAAATGGAGACTCTAAGATGAACTATGTGAGCCGGTGGATTCTGGCAAGATTGGTAGCAATTCAGAACTGTTGAATATTCAAAACCACTTGAACAAGACCCTTGGAGCATGCCCACTGGGGACCCGGGATGGGTGGGAGGCTGGGTGTGGCTTCTCTGTCTCTCCTCTTACCCCAGATACAGAAATAATAATAATAATAATAATAATAATAATAATAATAATAATAGGGCTGCTGGGATTAGAACTGGCACCCATATGGGATCCCAGGACATGCGGGGCAAGGACTTTAGCCACTAGGCTATCATGCCAAATTCGGATTTTTAAGTATTTTCATGTATGTAATGAGATGTGTTGGGGATCAGACCCAAGAATAAACAGAAAACTCATTTATATTTCATGTATACGTTTTATGCATAGCCTAAAATATAATATTTAAAAGAATTTGTGCATGAAATAAAATTCAAACATGTCAATGCTCATCAATTTTTTGCTTTGGAGAATTTCAGATTTGTTCAGAGTAGAGATCCTCATACTGTGTCTCAGCATATTCTCCCTTCTCCGAAGTGGTTACTTTAAGAAAGGCGAATGCGTCATTAGCTTATCAGAGCATGCTTAGACGGCACAGCACGTCACCTTACAGCCTGGTACGCACAGTATAATTTCATTGGCACTCGGCTGTTGTGCTATTTTTGTCACGTGTTTTATTTTTGTATATGGTTTAAAATGTCATACCAAAGTGTTC